TTGTTACAATTGCCCCGTGTTACAATTGCCCCCGGTCTCCCCTACTCATTAGTGAACTAAAGCCAAGTGTGCTGACCTGGGTCCATCTATTCAGACACCGACAGCTGCACAAGCAATACAGCTTCATGTTCATACTTTACACCATCATACATCAGCTTTATATTACTTGAAGTTTTAATGATATATTACACCTGAACGTGAGTCTTACCGAATTATAAAGTATTTACCTTAACAACTATTGTCTTACTGCATTGTGCTCTGCATTAACATAGAGTAACACAACTTGTAACCTTGAATTATCCAATGTTTACAACATGACAAAATAGACATTTTAACCAAAGCTTACAGGCAATATCTCTACAAATCAGAGGAATATATACAAACTATAAAATATCAACAGAGTCCATGAATGATCGATAAATTTCAAATGTGAGTCACACAATGTCCGCAAGTACTTTATGACCAGCTAACATCAAATGTGACATAAACTGTAGTTCAACTCAAACCTTTAAACTGGAGGCAGTAAGCTGGAGACAAACTTAATGACAAAGGCACAGTAAGTGTCGTGCTTGGTTAATCCACTGTGTGATAGTGCACGAGGTGATAGTGGCTGTGGCAGAAAACTCCTGTAGTAAGCTGAAATGGAGATTTAGGCAGACTGAAGTGTGAAGTATATAATGTTTAAAACATATTTGACTAGACGATTAATTCAGTTAAAGCTTGAGAGTATAAACACACTGAACTTCTCTCTCTCTCACTCTCACACACATACACACATATATATTATTCCTATATGGGATTTGCAAAGACAGGCTATTCTGGGGTTGTCAGACATCACTTTAATCTGGAGGCACATTCAAAAGGAAATTATTAAAACAGACAAATAAGGCTCACAGATGTGAATACATGCCTTGATTTTATTTAATATGTTTAGATTGTGAGCTAACAAAACATCGTCTTTGTCTAGCAAGTAAATGGTTCACCATTTACGAAATTGTTTCATTTGCCATTTACATGTAAAGTGAGAGGTCAGAAAAACACCCCTTTTGATAATTTTGAGGAAATTTCACACTATACACACACGGGAATACAATAAATAGCGAGTCATAAGGAATGCCTGAACCAGATACTTCCCACTGGAACAGCATACTGCACTCATGGGTACGTTATGGTAGACCAGAGGCTTCTGAGATCGTTCCTTCCTGAAAGCCGATGACAACCCGGCACCAATGGGTATTCATTTCAACCATTCATGCAGGTGCCAGACAGCAACTCTCACAACCTCAACCACCACTGGCGAGTCTGTTATGACATTCCAGCAACGTTTTAGCATATATACCGAGACAGTCAATCCTGATGGCAGAAAATCATCGTCTCCTGTAGTCAAGACAACCAGTCAATGGACAACTTCCCTCTTCATCAATGACTCATAGATCCAATCTTCGCCGATCTGATGGCTCATCCAGGTGAACGTTAAGTTATGCTATGTATTTCTGGATGCGAGATGACAGCGTTATGATCTGGAGTGAAATAAAGTTTACAGGGAAGACTCCAACGGTTGTGATTGATGGTCATTTGAATGAAGGGGCGGCGTAAAACTAAACTCACTCACTCACTTGAATGAAGGGAGATAACGGGAAGAAATTTCGTAAACGGCTTTTTCACTTTCGTTTACAGCAGAACGACATGGAATGTCATTCCAGGGCGAAACCGAAGGATAGACCTAGTCTATCAACAATCGAACATGCCAGAGATAAGATGGTAAGACGTCAGAATCCTTCCTGTGATATGGAATGCCATTTCTCAGTCCTTTCTTCAACGTCTAGCGGCTTCAGTTAGGTGGCTGGCCTGCATCGATGCGCATTGCGGACACCACCATAACTGACTATGAACTTCCCTCTGAACCTTCCTTGTGTAAGGAGCGTGAGGAGCGCTCTATATATTGCTGGTTACGAGACATCGCTCACTTCATATACTAAACTTTTATCAACACCGGTCGCTGTTTTAACTAATTCTCTGTTTGTCCTGATAACTTGGCTTACGTGTTCATATTTTTGTCTTTAGGAACATTTAACAAGATACATATGTTAACCAAACGGTGTTGTGTATAAGGCCTTGTGAGATGCAGCAATAATCGCCGAAACATAATGTAATAAATAACATAGGATACAGTCAGTCCATGCTATAACGTTGATTTCACGAAAGCTGTAAACGTCCAAGACCTGTTTTTCAAAACTACGCTGACGCACCACGAACTTCCTGTATTACTGTCGACGCAGGGTTCAACCCAATTCACTCACTTTGACAAATGTTCCTGTTATTTTTGTTTTGAATCAGTTTTGCTTTATATATGTGTGGAAATTAACCACTTAACTCGGGTAACGTGTAACTAACAGATGTCATCACTGTATGTGCATCCGAACCACAACAGTGCATCGCAAATCTATATTTGCCCCCGAGAATATGGTTTAATGTAGTCAAGCTCATATCCAAAAATATCTATAACACGACAAGTGTGTATGGTTGAAGTGAAGTTGATTAAAGTGCGTCGGTAGTATTGCGATATAAAACGACCCTCAGAAATAGAAGGCTCTCACACCCGGACTGCCATCTTGGTTTCTTCAAAGGAGTGTTATCTGAAAATAGTGTTTTGTTCAAACACATCTTGTCACCAGTATCTATAAACACGCTGTATTTCCTCTGCCAAAGGCCAACTAGACCATGAACATCCTCCTTCACTCGTGTAATAAACTCGACATACATGTAGCAGCGTTTTTAGTGAGGCTCGGACCCTCTTAAATTTCCATTGTCTGTGGATCTTCTGTGTTGAGGATGATATCATGGATTTCATTTCATGGATTTTCTTAATCACGAAACCCGATACATATACTAATAACCATATTGCCCCTTTCTTATGGAAAGACGATGAAAGAGAAACCACTTGCACGTGACATTAACGTCGTTTGCTTGTGCTGTGCACATATTTGCTTAACATAACACCGCTACGTTCACCGTGACCTCTACGTTCGTAAACACCAGTCAAAGCAGATTTATTTATCATATTCTGTGGTTCAAGGTGACATTATGCATGCTGTTATATGATGGTTTTATGCAAGCCTCATCAATCAGTATTGAATTGTTAATACCACGCGACAATGGCCGCGGACCAACATAGTCATTTTGAGGTGTGGCTCCATGCAAATGTTGAGTTATTGATGATTGAGAACAGAGATGATTCCATGAACTGAAGTGCTTAGCTACAGATTCTATGCTTCCCTTGGTGACACATGTGTAGCGTCACTGGCCTTTATGCCGGGTATCACAATACCGGATCAACGTTTCGCCAGAACCTGCTATTGGCTTTCAGGTTGTGTTCACTGAATAACAAGGTGTGGTCACGTGACAGGATACGAGCATCTGTTGGCGTCAATGACTTGGCAAAATCTTTATTTTCAATGCATAAAATATTCCCTTGATGCTCTTTGCGGGACTTTTTCGCAATGAAAGATGGCCATTGCATATAACACGTAGCACGTCGAGGCACAACATAAAAGCACACCTTGGTAGACCACACGTGAAAGCTATCTGAAAATACTTTTATGTTTTGGTGTATAATAAGTGTGTACTATATATCTTAATCGGGATTGCATGGGACACATTTGCATACTAGTATCCTGTAAATTCCACTGGAATTAACTTCAACAGGTACATGCTGGTTACAATATTTTGATCTTCTGAATGTGACCATGCACAACGGCTGTTTTGTGTGACGCAGTCACTGTACTGCTGACCCCGTCGCAAAAAAAAAACACACACACACACACACACACAGACAGACAGACAGACAGAGGGTTCCATATACAGGGAGTAAAACTGTAAGGAATCGTTCACTTACATCAAGATGATAAAGTTCGAACCAAAGGGTCCAGACAGGCCCCACTATTTCGAGGCAGTAAGTTTCATCTTATCAGACGTTTAACCCGTCCCAATATTTACCTTCATATACAATGGCCCCTAGGGTTTAACCAAACTTTGATGGCGCTTTTATGCGTCGGCTGCTGAATTAATCATGTTTGTTGGAGTTGGGTTATATTTGTTCATCGCTGACCTTGGCTGTAAACCCTGTATAGTCATCTTGTGGCAGCGTGTAAACCTACTGTAAGGGACAAAGAGAAGGAGCGTTGCAGGAATATACAAACAAACTGTCGTACAAGGGGATAGAAGGTTTATAGTCCCCATCATTACCATCTCAATCCACCTGGTACTGCTGTTTGAACGGGGCCGATTGTGGAAAGGCCTCTCAGTTGAGAGACACCTCATGGAATCATTCCTTTGATATTAACATTTCGGATTTGTTGATAACTGCTTTTTGCTAATGAAATTGACATGATGACTTATTTTCCAGAATAGAGTTCTAAGTAACCGCGCTTTCTTTCCACCATATTATCTTAAAGAATAAGGACGCAGCTAATCACTGTCAATATTCACCTTGACCGATTTTACATTCTGAAGTTGATATCAGCGAAAAATACAAACCTATCAAGAAAACATTAACTCTTAACATGTTTTCATTGTTGATTTTAGGTCGGTTAGGTAGTTTAGTCTCTAGTTCGATAACATGGGTAACACTGAAAAGCCAATTTCTAGTGTCTTCCGCCGTGATGGTACTGAAAAACTGCTATCCCTGTAATGACAAGGATTTCGAAAATCAACTTCAACGTGTTTTTTTGTATTTGATTTCTGGACAGTTGTAAGACAAATGACTCAGAAATCAGTTCAGGGCGTGTCTTGACTGATATAAAGCATCTTCCCTGCAAGAGTTATAGTTAGGCGTTTCAATTTACTGTGTATCGTTAGGAGCGCCAGAAACATAGTCCTAGGTTCGGTTCGACCCTGATAATATCTCTGTAAGAATTATACCTGCCTGCAGTACTTTGGGCTTTCAAACCTGAACAGGCGTCAAACCTACCTCACTCACTCACTATGTATTATTTTCTCAGTGACCCTGACGTCATGTGACCCGGTCGATCAGGGGGAGCTGCACGTGATACATAAACGTCAGGCCCCAGGGGAGCGGCCCAGCTGTCAGACGGGAGCGGTAACTATGTTATGAATAATCTTTATACATGTTTTATGTTGAGTGGACAGAGCATCCCAATGCTGTCTTGACATTAACACCAAACGAATTTTAATCTGTCTAACTACGTTTTGGTCATCTCCAGCTCAGTCTCCATCTCCATGTCTGAATATTCAGCTTATCTCAGTCTGAATTTCTGAATTCCTTGCTTTCCTCAGTCTCCATTTCTGAAGCTGCAGCTTATCTCAGTCTCCATTTCTGAATCCCTTGCTCTTCTCAGTCTCCATTTCTGAATCCCTTCCTCTTCTCAGTCTCCATTTCTGAATCTTCAGCTTTCTCAGTCTCATTTCGGCAGTCTCCATTTCTGAATCTTCAGCTCTTCTCAGTCCATTTCTGAATCTTCAGCTCTTCTCAGCAGCCAGCTTTCAGTCTGAATCTTTCAGTCTCCTCCCTTTGCTCTCAGTCTCCATTTCTGAATCTTCAGCTTTCTCAGTCTCCATTTCTGAATCTTCAGCTTTCTCTGTCTGCATTTCTGAATCTTCAGCTCTTCTCATTTCTGTCTCCTGTCTTCTGAATTTCTGAATCTTCAGCTTTCTCTGTCTCCATTTCTGAATCTTCAGCTTTCTCAGTCTCCATTTCTGAATCTTCAGCTTTCTCTGTCTCCATTTCTGAATCTTCAGCTTTCTCTGTCTCCATTTCTGAATCTTCAGCTTTCTCTGTCTCCATCTATTTAATTCCCAATCTTGCAAAAACAAAACAGTTGAAATATACGACTATATGCTGGATCATGACATCGATTTGCTCTTTCTCACTGAAACTTGGCTAGCTGCCGTCGGTGATGAGTCAAAATGCCATGAAATTACCCCGCCAGGCTACAAACTGTTTAATGTACCTAGACCAAACAGGAGAGGAGGGGGTGTCGCACTGATCTACAGGAAGGATTTGATTATTGAAAAGTCAAACCTACATACTGACTTTGCTTCATTTGAATATTTGCTTGTCACTGTCACTTGTGGTAAAAATCTTTAAAATTGTGTGTCTCTATAGGCCCCACCATCAAGAGTGAATAACGTCACTAACTCAAACTTCTGCGATGAATTTTCTTCACTCTGTGACTTACTAAGTCCCAAACTTGGATCTTGTGTAATCATGGGTGACTTTAATGTCCATTATGATATCAAACAAAATTCTTAACTAAGCAAGTGCTCAACGTACTGGAATCCCACAGCCTCAAACAACATGTCAGCTGTTCCACACATCGCTCTGGTCATGTGCTTGACTGGGTTATCTCAGGATTTGATGATCTGGTAACAGACCTAGAAGTCAATGATTTGCAGATATCCGATCATTTCATGATCTCCTTCCTTCTGAATTTCCAAAGACCCACTCCGAATACCGAGTTCATCACAGCTCGCAACCTGAAGAAAATTGACATTGGCATATTCTGTCATGATCTGAGCAATTCAGGTCTGTTTTCTAACACATCTGATGACGTTAACGAGCTATCTGATCTCTTTAACTCTACTTTGACGGCCGTCTTAGATAAACACGCCCCCGTTAAATTGAAGCAAATGCGTAATCATGAAGCATCACCGTGGTACAACGATCAAGTCCGTGAGGCAAAGAGGAAGAGACACTTTGCTGAGCGCACATGGCGCATCTCTGGCTTGGAGATCCATAGACAATTGTACAAATGTGCCCGAAACAATGTTGCCAAAGAAATCAGGAATGCTCGCGCCCATTACATCAATGAGGAAATTTCTAGGATTGCAGAAAATCCAAAACGTTTACACAGCTCTCTCCACAAGATCCTTGGAAAATCTAAGGAAGTGTTACTTCCTCATGGCGAGGAAAAGACATTGGCAGAGGATTTCAACACCTTCTTCAATGAGAAGATCACGAAACTACGAGGTGATATTGATTCTTCTTCTGAGGATGTTGTATTCGGGGAGCCCATTGGTACCCAGCTCAGTTCATTCCGTCCAGTAACAGAATCTGAGGTCAAGAAAATAATGCTTTCGTCAAAACCAACTTCATGTGAGCTTGATCCTATCCCGACAAAATTCCTTTTGAAAATACTGGATATCATTCTGCCAATCATTACCAAGATCATCAACCTAAGTTTATCATCAGGTTGTGTACCATCATGCTTTAAGCGAGCTGTAGTCAAACCACTCATCAAGAAAACCACGCTTGACCCTCAGAGTCTAAAAAAACTATCGTCCTGTCTCAAATTTGATGTTCATGTCTAAAGTTCTGGAGAAAGTAGTCAAACAACAACTCTCGGATCATCTTTCTGGGCATAACTTGACTGATTGTTACCAATCTGCCTACAGGCAGGCTCACAGCACAGAAACTGCTCTAAATTATGTCTTGAACTCTGTCAGATCCGCAGTCGACCATGGTGAATCTGCTTTGCTTGTCCTCCTGGATTTATCTGCGGCTTTCGACACAATTAACCATGAAATTCTTCTTGAGCGTTTGGTGAAAGAATTTGGTTTGACTAATACAGTTCTTGACTGGCTAAGATCCTACCTTTCAGACAGAACCCAGTCCATTCACATCGGAACGTCTTCATCATCCAGTCACACCCTAACCTGTGGAGTTCCCCAGGGATCAGTTCTTGGACCAACTCTTTTCTCCCTGTATACTCAACCGCTCGGAAAACTGATGTCTGCTTATCATGTGCCTCATCATTTCTATGCGGACGACAGCCAATTGTTTGACAGTTTTAAGTCGTCAGAACAAAGTCAGTTAGAGTGCAAGTCCAACCTTGAAGCATGCCTCTCGAGCACAAGATCCTGGATGTCTGCTAACAAGCTGAAACTTAACGACTATAAAACAGAAACAATGGTCATCTCCACAATCTCAAGACAACGAAACCTTATCATCAAAGATATCTCCATTGGGCAATCTTCGATTCCTTTTTCTCCTCTTGTGAAAAACCTTGGCGTTCTTTTGGACTCAAACCTCAGCATGGACAAGCAAATAAATCATCTAGTAAAGACCTGCCACTACCATCTGAAGAACATCGGCAGCATCCGCAAAGTCCTAACAAAAGAAGCCACTGCCACCCTTGTGCGGACACTGATTTTATCCCGCCTGGATTACTGCAACAGTTTACTGTTTGGCATCTCTTCCTCTCAACTCCATCGTCTTCAGAAAATCCAGAACAAAGCTGCACGCATCATCACTCTCACCAGTCCTCGCTGTCACATCTCTCCCATCCTAAACTCTCTACACTGGCTCCGTATTCGTGAAAGGATTGATTTCAAGATTCTCTGCCTCACCTACCAGTCTTTCTACAACTCAGGACCTTCCTACCTTCAAGACCTTCTGACACATTACTCTCCAGAAAGAACCCTGCGCTCATCACAACAACTGTTACTTGCTGTCCCGAGCTACAGTCTCAAATCATTTGGCTCAAGGACCTTTTCATATGCAGCAGCTTCTCTGTGGAACTCTCTCCCTATCGAGTTAAAATCATCTCCTTCCCTAAGTACATTCAAAACACGACTAAAGACTCATCTATTTCTTCGCTACAAGTGACTTCCAATCATCCGTACCTGCCAACTGTATATAGTTTTAACTTGAGCTCAGGAAGCGCTTTGAGCATATCCCTGTGACGTGGAAAGGCGCTATATAAATGGCCTATTATTATTATTATTATTATTTAAATCCCCGCAAAACAAACCCAAACCCGACAGCCAAAAAGAAAAACAACCCCTATACCCTACCCCACCCACACCCACACACACCCAAAAAAACAAAACAAAAAGCAGCAACGACAAAAAACACCCCCACCTTTTGTTGTAACACTCTACATGGACTTTAGACAAAATGTTTAAAAGTTCGGGTAATATATATATACGTTTTGTTATGTGAATCACAACATTCTGTATACATTAAACAGACTGTACCAGCAACAAGGGTAGACACGACCTCCAGATTGCAGGCCATCAGAAGTCTGTTTCCAAATGTTCCTGGGGGTGCTGTGCACGCCTACATCGTCCCAAGCACCGACGCACATCAGGTAGGTTCAGGACGCGACAATACAAAAGATGATAAAGTGATGTTACTATCCTGACCTATTCACGCATTGCGCTTTTGAGCGATGAGGTACTGTTGAAATACTTACATTTGCAATTTTCGTGGATGATCTTGTACTGTTCATGACTTGTGTGTTGTTTATCAGAGCGAATACCCTGCCGACTACGACCTAAGGCGGGGCTACATCTCTGGCTTTGGAGGATCAGCAGGTCGGTGGCATTATATTTTGGTTAGGAATTGTCAATTGGTTGATAATGGTGCTCGCACCTTCAACCCCTGGATTTTCTACCCAAGACTCGATCATGTACTGGCCATCGTGATATAATAGAAATATCTCCGGATCTAAACAACTTGGCTCTCCCACTCTTTCTGTGCCATGTCTAAACCATTGTTCAACAGCCCTGACTGACTGACTGGGCTTGGTTTTACGCCGCTTTTAGCAATATTCCAGCAACATCACGGCGGGTGACACCAGAAATGGGCTTCACACATTGTACCCATGTGGGGATTCGAACCCGGTACTTCGGCGTGGCGAACCAACGCTTTAACCATTAGGCTACCCCAGCGCCCCTCAACAGCTCTGAAGTAAACTGAATTGTTGAGACATCTCCATGACGGCTGGATACAAATCGTGATGTCTTATGCTTCTGCTCCTCATCCATTGTCAGGGACGGCTGTGATCCTGACTAACAAGGCTGCGTTATGGACAGACGGACGCTATCATCTGGAGGCGGACGAGAACCTTGACTGTAACTGGACACTCATGAAGCAAGGTGAGGCGCAATGACCGCAATAGGGTTAACGGTAGGCTGTCTGGTACACTAATACAAAATTGTAAGAAAGTATGGAAGACATTTGCTCCAGGATAGGTGTAGCTGACCACAGCAGGGTATAATGATACGTTCAGGTGTACATTAATACTCGTCAGTGTGTCAGTCGAAAAAATCCCGGATGTCATCGTATCCCAATTGCTTAAATCGATGCTCATGATGTCAATCACTGGATAGTCTGGTTGAGACTAGATTAGTTACACACCGCCGTCATATAACTGGAAAATGGCTGATTGTTGCGTTAAAGCACAAATGCACACAATACACACGCTTGATTGAGATAAAAGACTTGATCGGAAGGTAGTAAGGATTGTAAGTCCATCTGTAGGAGAGAGTAATGGTACAATATGGGCTCACTGATTCAATACCAGATGTAGTTACAATAAGATAATGTCGGCTCATGACAGGCGGCCGTGCTAAGTGACGGAGATTTCCCTATCTATAGTAGAGCGTAATGGTACAATATGGGCTAACTGATTCAATACCTTATGGAGATACACATAAACAATGTTGGCCATGACAGGCAGTAACTGGAGATGGTCATTTGAACGCACCTGTACGATACTGATAGAAAAAACAAACGTCAATGACTGCAGTAGATACATATACTATGGGCCTCACAGATACAATGATACATTGCCCTGTTCTGGCAGACAGTAGTGACATTGTCTGGGGCTGAAATAGATGCCGGAGTGGTTAGCCACAGTACAAGAAAGGGTGCAGGGAAGCGGTAGAAGAGAGTAAAACAACAGCACGAATTGTGGATTGGTTTATGTAGTCGAGCGTAATGATCCAGTGTAAGGAGTACGGTACGAGAAGAGGAGTAACTGTTGTGAGATGGGTGGAACAGTAGAGGCAGTAGAACATAGAGGATACCCAAGCAAAGATGGGCGTAATAGTCATTTAAGCAGCCTGCTCAACTACGCAATGATTCACAAATGTAATCATGCTATAAGGCGTGCATTTTCGATGAAGGATGGTACATATAAATATACATGTGAAATGGAATTTACAGAACAACGGTTCTTTCGGTTCACTGCAATAGCAACGATTCACGTCGCTGGGGCGAAATGTGATAGTATCTTCTGATATGATGAACAAAGGGTGCTAGGACCTGTTCAACGACAGTTATCCCGGAGGTGGCTGAGACACATCGTTCATACATAAACACTGCCACAGAGAGTTATAAGGGTTACATATGCTCTGAGAGCTACACTTTTCAGCACAGTTTGTAGTCTTTGCTAGATCTATATGCTAACTTGCCTTCCATTGTTCCAGGAATACCAGGTGTGCCAAGTATAACTGATTGGCTGGTTGACCAGCTGAAGACAACCACCGGGGCCAGGGTCGGCGCGAGCCCCTTCCTCATGAATGCCCGTATGTACAGACACCTTAGGGGGAGACCTGTCATAAACAAATTACAAGAAAACTACAATACGGATAACTGGTTCACAGTAAAGACATTTTAGCATACGCATGTCTGTTATCACTACCTCACGGGGACGCAAACAAGTCAGAACGTCCTTAATCCGTACCTTTATTGAGGATGCACAATAGCTCCATTTGCCCATTTCGCGCAACGGAACGAATTAGTATGGTGTTCTTGTGGAGCCAACAGTGAGGTTTTTAGCAATATTTAGGCAATAGCACAGAGGGGCTTCACACAAATGTTGTTTATGTTTAGCGAGCCAGCTACAATAAGAATAATTGCTTTACTGTAAAGGCTAAGATATTTTAATGTACGCATGTTTGCTACCACTACCTCTGGAGGTTATACTTCGAGAAAGCCATAACGATTGGAGGATAGTCTTTTATCAATACCTTTATTGAGGATGTGCCATAGGTCCATTTGGCCATTAGAGTAACGAAAATGAATAAGTATGGTGTTGGTGTTGTTCGCAATATGTTGGCAATAGCACAGAGGGGCTTCACACAAATGTTCATGTGTAACCACGAGCCAACGTTTTAATATATAACCACAAGGCTACCTTATAGCCTCCGTCAGGATAAAAAATCTCGGAGATTAACTGATCGAAATACATGATGTGTATAAATGTGTGAACCGGACTTCCTCTCCTTTATAAACTCGCTTGTTTAAAGCAATTAACCCAATTACTCGACCCTTCAGGCACCTGGAAGTCATATTCTGAGAAGTTCGCTAAGTCAGGGATATCCATGGTAGAGGTGGACAATGACCTGGTTGATCAGGTCTGGACTTCCGGTCGACCTGCACAGCCAAACTCACCAATCAACGCCCTACCGATGGAATATGCCGGTATGTACATTTATGTTCCTTCATATATTCCCGCAGTCCTTGTTTACAGACACATTGTACATGTAAAAATACAGATTAAATTTGAAAAGAACCCACGGTTTGGAAAAGATAATATGTTTGGGTGTAATATACTCATGATGATCACTACTTATCCTAATCTTGTCAACATTGTTATCTTCGGCAGGGAAATCCTGGGACTCTAAGATCGGCGACGTCAGGGGTAAAATGCGTGCCAAGGGAGCTGCTGCTTATATTGTGACCAGCCTGGATGAGACTGCCTGTGAGCATTTTGTATTGTTACTTGTTATGTTCTTTCGTCTACTGCACTCCAGGGGCCTACCTCCTGTCGGGAGTCTTGGTCAGAATAGGTTCCTAGCACTGTGTGTAATGTTTGTCGAACGAGGTAACTATACATTCGAGACTGTGCTGATTGGGTGTACCCCGACTTTGTTTGAGGGATGATTTCCAAAGTGAAGCGCAAACGATGAAATTGTGAAACCAGTAAATAACCACGCAAGGTCATTGAATAATTAACAAGTTGTATTGAAATACGCAATTATAGTGTTATAATCACAATTGCAAGAAGCAGTACATAGGCCATATTAGTAACATCAGCAATATATAACAATATTAGTGCACATAGGATTGTTCCACAATTGTAAAAGACATGGATCTTGATCTGATTTTGTTTTCGGCAACAGTGTTGAAAGTTGGAAGGAAGTCAGTGGTTTAAGATATGTCCGCACTGGGCATGTCGTTAACACTCAAGTCAGATCGTAAACGTATAGCTGTCGTCTCGCTCTTACATAGTTCCTGCCAGCCTTCTACAAAGGGAACTTTAGGAAACTATTGTCGGTTACGTACCCATTTTACTGGAAGAGCCGCAAATGAAGTTATGTCTGCTGAATTGATGAAATGAGCGATTAATACACGCGCGCACAATCACAGTAAATGAAGGCATGGCAATAGCAGAATGATTTCAGTAATTTAATCCTGTTTCTTCCTGTTTAGGGCTTTTCAACCTTCGTGCTAGCGACATCGCCTACAACCCGTTCTTCATCTCATATGCCATTGTTGAGAGCAACAGAGTCAGGTAAGCTATATGGACAACAAGTGAACAGGGGTTGGTCCGTCTGGAATTCGAGGCAGATATTGTGTGACAGCATGAGCAAGATTCAGACATTTCACCTATCAGTAACAGAAACACTTACTTTATATTCTTAGAAATGGTCATCTCCTAATAAAGTGTGCAAGTTTAGCGCAACTCTTGCGAACATCATGTTTTCAAACAAACATGCGTCAGAGTGTAGGTATCAACTTGAAGAAAGGTCACGTTATCACGATACATGATACTCATTACGGGGTGTGTCCATCGAAAATGGCTATGCAACACTTACGACAGATCATTTAGATCAACGATTCAATGGCGTTGTTGGCAACCTTAGTGAGGCTGCTGCACCCTTTTTATTTGTCTTTCGTCAAATGGTATATAATAAATTCGAGGTCGTCTGAATTCATGCATGAAATGTCCAATGAGATAAAGATCTCATGGAAATACTGGAGAGGGTGACACCTTGCCAATCATCTGTGGAATTTAATTAGTGGACACACGAGAGACGAATTGGGCGTTCTCCTGAAATGGAACGACGTCAGTGCTTGGATTACATCTTGATAACGTAATATTGTCACTGTGCGATGGGTCAGTTCCTATACAACTCCATGATGCAGAAATATAGTGTTAAAGGTCCTACGGTAAACTAGGAACAGACCATCGACGGCACTGAGACCGACTTTCGATTTATTAAAGAAAATCACCCTACCTTCAGAATATCAAAAGGAAGCAATTTTGCTACGAGTTACAGTTTGCTCAAGGGGAGATAAACACTGATTGGATAAGGGAAGTAAGCGCCGCGTAGGCTAAATCATTTTACATGCCATTTGTAGTATGGATGTCAACTTCATTATTGTGAATAACACGACGTTTCGGAGTGTATGCTTACTCCTTCACCACCTGGACTCTCACCTGATGATTTGTACAAATCATTTATTCTCAAGCAAAATTTTCAAAATATAATGACTATGACTGCTATATAATTCTACATTGTGAATATAAAATGTACAACAGTAATCAGTTCTTTTCCAAACTTTTAGATCTTTTTCATATCAATGTATCTGTACAAATACAATTACTGCCAGAAGATGAAATGATGTCTCTCTTTGCTGGAGGTGAAATACTGGTTACTAAACACTATTCTATCTTGTCTAATTGAGTCTACTGGACTGATCCATTATAAGAACTAGGTATCAGCTTGAGGATTAGTTGTGCGCTGAACCAGAAATGTTGTTTTAATCTGTCTAAGATATGGCTGTCTAAGTTTTGGGAGGTTACCCATTCATATGATGCATGATATCGACAACTATGTACATATACATCGCAATCGAATACCCATTTCCTGTTTTTATATTTTTTCACCATCAAATATGGGCGTTTGCTTTATTTGGCTGGCATCTTTTCTACCACTGCAAATAACCTGACCATAAGCCGTTACAACATCACCTAAATAAATAATTCTCTTGTGATGTTTTAATCATGTGATGTCAGTTATGATACGCTACCTCCTTTGTCTACAGACTTTACATATTGAACCACGCCGCCAAGTTGACGCAAGACCCGACGGATGAAGCCACGACAAGCAAACTGTACCAACACCTCAGCAGCGCCATGGACGGCTCATGTACTTCTTCCTCGGGGTCATGTGTGGAGGTAGGGTGTTTTCGACATGGTGCAATATCATAGATGTATGGGAGGCTATTTGGAGCTGCATGAAATACAGAAATGGGACATTAATTAAATAAAATTAACAGACAATAAGTACTCTAATAGGAATTATCCAACTAATAACGTTAAAGACATCAATGGAGTAGCAAAACGATGAGAAAAATGTTTCAAAAACGGTAAAACTTGAATACTTAAAGATTGATAAAACAAAAATTATTCATGTTTAAATTAGCACATCTTTCAAGTAGAGTATATGTATGGACCTCATATACAAGGCATACATTTCATACTTGCAATTCATTATAAAGAATCTTGGGTATTCCCAGTTATCTATGCTGGTTTCAAAAGGCGACTTAAAGAATAGGGTGTCAGACCGGATGATTTCAACATCTTTGAACGGCACAAAATACAGAAATAGAACATGCCAGCCATTATGCTCCTTCAAGAAGAATGTGGCAGTAGCTTGGTACGTGTGTCTTGTGTGAGAAGTTTGCGTCCAGTATGTACACTAAATATTATGTACCTTCTATAAGAATGTTCACGTAATTTGTTTATATGAAAATACGACATACGACATCCAGTACGACCTTTCCATAGAACGAGTGTCTTGGTTGATGTTTACAAGTATACATGTTGTTGCCACATGCCCTATAACCGCAGGCGTCACCACTAAGGAAGTATATTTCTCAGTAAACTAGTAAAATGACTTCTCAACATACATTCTTTCTTGTGCTTTGTTGCAAGGTTCTTGGGTACTCCCCAATTGGCATCAAGGCCGCGGTCACAGACATCGCCTCTAACAGCAGTAACAACATCTGGGTGTCACTGCTATGCAACCAGGCTATATACAGTGCTATACCAGAGGTAGGTCCACTCCGACGTAATTACATTACAAGCAAAAATGCATTTTATAACACGATATTTGCATGTAAATGCGTTGACGGATTTTGATTATCTGACGTGACCTGACAGATGTTGATATATTGCAGGCCCAGCGTATCCATGACAAGTCCGCCATTGCTTTGATGAAGTCCAAGAAGAACATCGTGGAGAGGGACGGGATGCAGGCATCACATGTAAATAACCATTAATGAAATTGTGGACATTTGCATTATATTTGGATTACGGTGATAGTTAACATGCCATTTTCACCAGTGTTATAATACCCTTAAGTGCATGACTGGTCATTTGAATAGATCGTCTGATCGGAGAGGGAGACGTCATCCTGTCGATCTCGGCCACGTCTTAAGAAACGATGTCAGAAGGTGGTATTTGTTAATGCCTTGTCTTGTCCTCGTCATTTTAGGCTTTGCAGCAAGACCTAGACGGAGTCATGATAATGTGTCTGGTATCTCAGTGGGCTAGCGTTTTATCATCGGAATTAGTCCGCGTTGGTACAAGAAGTCACACCAAGAAACGAGCATGCACGTCGCTATGATAATCTTCAACGCGACGGTAGACTTTAAGAGCAGTGAGGAATGCTCTGTTGATATAAACATGGCAGATTTGCTTCCCTTTATGGTTGTGAACTTGTGATGCTACCGCCATATTGTTATATCAATAGAGTTGCATCCCTGTATTTACTGTGGTGCTACTAACATGTAACTTGAACCTGACTATCTTGCGTTATTAAGGATCTCCCTCTTGAATGTGTGTAATAAATGAATGTTCTTATTTGACTGAATGTTTTACTTCTTCTTCTCCAGAATCGAGATTCAGTGGCCCTTATCACCTTCTTGGAGAGATTGGAACGTGAGGTAACCTAATACAAACTGACAATAACATGTCCCACGTAGGGGAGATTGATAAGATGTGGTCTTATAGCCCACTGTTTGGCGTGGTAGCCTTCTGGTTAAAGTTTTGGGATTCATCACACAGGTACAATGGAGATATTATCTGAGATGAATACACTATGCCATTTAGAAAAAGTGGTCAAACGTAACACATGTTATATTTGGGATTACAATTTCTCTACAAAGTAGATTCTAGTACTTATTTGGGTTGAGTGCCTGACTCTGAGAAAGTGTAATCTCAAATATAACACATATTATCTGAGATGGCCGCTATACAATGTTGTGATCATACAGAGTGTCCATATCAATGGCGGAATAAGGACATGGATATAAACACGTGATACTGCAAGCAATTGTCTCAATGAGATGTAGCTCGATGACAACGGTGTGATGAGATATCATTGATTTCTTATGCCAGGTGAAAGCAGGGCAGCAGTGGACGGAGGTGAAGGCTGCAATGGAACTGAAGAAAGAGAGGCTGTGAGTACACGATAATGATTATATACGATGTGAATGTGTGTTTTATAATACGAATGTCCATTACGATTGGGATGACAGTTATGACAATGTTAAGGACGATGACTCTTTTGTTGCTGCTGCTGCTAAGGATGACGATGATAACTCTCAGGGTGATGTGCTGTTGTTCGGTCTGATGTCTGTGAAGATATTGTGGATCTTGGTGATCTTAATGCTTGGGTTGAAGGTGATATCACAGTAATTGAACAATGCTGCAATGGTGAACGCAATCTCATTTTTATCAGATCTACAACTCCGATACGATGAGTGAAGATATGATCACACTTTATCGAATGTTAGATGGTTAGATGTTTTTTCAGACTGTGCCAATGAGCTTCGAGGCTTCATAATGCTCGATGCTAGTGAACTATCGGCATATATGATTTTTTATCTTGTGCACTTTGGCATCAGTACCTTTGAAGGAATAAGTAATTTGTGTAGAGGTTTTGTTGTGTTTCAAGTGTTATTTCAAAATGGATGCGGTGAAGCAATGAAGTCAAGTCGAGACCTGACTGATCCAAGACTGTTTCTGTATTTGATTTGGCGATTTGAGATCCTCAGGGTACACCTTATGTTGACTTCGATGTAGGTTTTAACGCAGAGAAGGATCTTAAATGAGATGAACGTTCTTGATCATTGTCGACGCATCAGATAATTTTATGAAATATACAAGTAAGCCTGGATATCTTATGATTATGCATGATGTTTCAGCAAGCAGGATTTGAACCGTGGACTGAGCTTCCCCACCATAGCTGGGTCTGGATCTAACGGCGCCATCATCCACTACAACCCCTCTAACGCCACAGACAAACAGATCACCACATCAGACATGTTCCTTCTTGACTCGGGTGGACAATATCTGTAAGTTTTACGTTGCAGGAGCAAGGGACAGTGAGTCACATGAATGGCGGTTTCCAGTTTTCCAACATCTGTGAGAAAGGAGAATCCTCAGCGTTTTCTTCTATTTTCAATTGTTTTGTTATTCTGTGTCGTTGACGCTGAATGATTGAAGTATTGAGAACGTTAAGTAGTAACTGGTCTACCCGTGAAGATTCGGGTTAAAATAGGTCTTCAGCAACCCATGCTTGTCGTAATAGGCGACTAACGTAATCGGGTGGTCAAGCTCGCTGACTTGGTTGCTGAGTGCGGCGTTAAACAACAAACAAATAAAACAAACAGTAACTGGCCAGTGCAAAAGTAACTGGTAATAATGTGAGCTCAGGTGAGGTTAAACGCGTTCAAAATTATTGAACATATTTTGTGCCGAGTTTATAGTGCTAGGTGACTAAGATACCATGTGTCGGTTTAACTTTCACACACACACCCCACTCCCTCGAAAACGTTTACCCTGAGAAGCATTTCCCCTCAACTTTTGGACTTCATGATTCATGCCCCCTTCCCCAAAATCCCGGATCCGGACCTGCTTGGGACAGTTGTGACCCACTTTTCTGAGGCGCGCGAATGCTCTGTGCAAAGGTCCGTCTCGCAAAACATGCCAGGGACAAATGACCGTTATTTCAAGTCCCGATTCGCAAGTTATCACAGGTAAAGGTCAAAGATCTGCATTACTTCGTGCTTTCTCCGCAGCTAACACGTCGCGTTTGACCAAATTCACTCAAGTGGATGTGTGTCCATGATGTGCTCAACCGTATGTTATCAACGGCATTTGTCGAAGTTCATGCTGCCATGGTCTAGATTGAATAAACCGCTTTGACTTACTGCGACAGCGACTGAAACAACCTTAATTCCCTCCTTAAAGTATACTCTCTTACCTGCACACAGTATTGTCTTCTGTTGTGTAGAGGTGTCTCATTTTTTTCAGAGAAGACGCGATCTGTGTTTAGAATGATAAACGTAGATACCTTTCAGTGTAAGGATTTTATTTCTTTTTGTTACACCTCAGCCATGCAGACTCGTCGTAATTACATAATATTTACATTTTGTAGGGATGGCACCACGGATGTGACGAGAACACTTCACTTCGGACAGCCTTCGGATTACGAAAAGGTAAAGAGTTTTATGGTGAATGGCATTTTACGCTGTCTGTTCCTATACTAGGGACATGGAGGAAAACACACAAGCCAGTCTACCAATATATATATTATATCACTGGACGCAAGCACACATCACAATGGCCAAGTAATCAATCTGTGATTCCAACCCAAGATCAGCGGATAATAGCCAAAGAACGCAACTCATTTTGTCAGTCATCTATAGTCAAGCATTTGGAGTTATTTTTCCGAGTGTGACTGTGGGATAATGACAGCTTTATGGAATGTTATTTAGGAGAATTTAACTTCTTCATGTACCGGTGTTTTTGTGTTTTCTAGGAGTGCTACACTCGTGTACTGATGGGGCATATCGACCTCGCCCTGCTCAAGTGGCCTAAAGGGCTGTACGGTGAGTATTACACACACAGAGACACACTGCCCCAATGATAAAACAGTACATCTACCCAAAGTAAATATTTATACATGTCCCTTGTGTGACAGATTAATTGAGGGTGGTCTATTCTCTGTTACAGGACGTGAGATTGACGCTATCGCCAGGGCTCCCCTCTGGGAGGCGGGTCTGCGGTACCTACATGGCACAGGGCACGGGATCGGGGCTTACCTCAGCGTTCATGAGGGGCCGGGCAGGATCTCCCTGTCACACAGCCTCAACCCAAGTGACCAAGCGTTAGAAGAGCATATGTATTTCTCAGATGGTAAGTGGGCTAGTCTGGTTGATAAGATGTTCCAATGTCACGCCGACATAGATTGTCTTTTAATTGATCAATTGTCAACAAGCTAGCCAACACGTGCTTAAATATTATTGAAACAATGTGATGTGACGATTGCAGGTCAGAAAGAGATTGGAAACGGACGTAAAATATCTACTGCTGTAAAGTTCCCCGGGACAACAAAACTGACCCCCACTGTGTTGTAAAACGATCTACTTCCATCTCGGAACTGTTACCAACTGATTTTTCTGGTTTATCGATCGTAAACACTTGATTGTTTGACTTCTTAACAGGCCGCCACCACATGGTGGTGACATTACTGTGCGACATCGGCCTGTACATATACATTCTTAGTCAGATTGAGTGAATGGCAAGTGCTACCGACAGGGCAGGACACCGGGTGTCATCGCTAATTTTCAGTGTTCCATTCATATACATTTCACAGCTATTTTGCCCCTTACAAATAATGAAATCTGTTTCTAAAGATAGTCAAGACCGGTGTTCTTTTGCAAGTATTTGAACCTCTCAAAAGCAGTGAGGTTTGTCAACACCCAGTGGCCAGTTTCACTCAATATGGTACAATTACGAAGGTTACAAGGTCCCACTGAAATATACCTAGAATTTGTAGTCTGATTCTATTTCAGATTAAGTCACCATTATAATGTCCCTCATTTACAATCTGCTCAGATTCAGAGTATATGTGTAACGAGTGGCAGTCTACAAATTATCCTTGAGTCAGAAGGTATTTCCACAGACTATCCCTGTCGAAAGAGATATTTTATAGAAAGTCTACCTAGTTTTTCAACCCGGTCCACATTACAGGCTACACTGATACAGTTTTGTTGATTGATTAATACTGTTGATTATGCAATAACACACATTGTAAATATAGCCTTCCAGCTTGTTATTAGTTTCCTTTCAATATTCTCATGTTTTACAGAACCGGGCTACTACGAGGACGGCAAGTTCGGTATTCGTCTGGAGACAATTGTCACAATAGAATTCGCGCAGACAGCGGTAAGAAAAATATATATAGTTCTTCTGGACTTTGCTCAGACTAATGAGTTCGAATTTACAGCCAACTCAGCAATATTTGAGCCACGATGTGACATGTTGTAAAATAGAAAGAGGGGACAGGGCATCAGAGTTCATGACCTTCCTATTGCTTCTGTCATTTGTCGAGCCTGGCATAATCTCCCTGTCCCACAGCCTCAACCCAAATGGCAGGGGTGGCCCAGTCGTTACAGGCACAGAAATTCACCGTATAGAGTTGGCGCACCGAAAGCCTGTGAAAAGTGGGTTTGATTACGCCCGATTACGTTTCTAGGTTTGTCAGCCCATGGGTTACCTGGAAATGTACCAGTTATTTGAATTTTGGACTTGGCAGGGTAGTAAGTTGCCACTGTTTCAGCATAAAACTAATTAGGCGTGGGGCCTCTAATGCACGGCCAGTGCGCCTGTTACAGACACTACGGTACGTGCGTTTTAGTACTGTGGTTAGAGAACATATACTGATACCTAAAATATGTTTCATTTGGTCGATTGCAGCACCCATTTCCCAACTCAGTGTTCTTGGGATTCAAACCCGTCACTTTGGTGCCATATGAACCACATCTGATCAAGTTTGACATGCTTGGGCCAAAACAGGTGAGATATGATTGATTCTCTGGTACATGCTGATCTAGTCTAACTGTCGAAGCTTCTGAATTTTCAGATCTTTAACAGTAATGTCAGTACTTAAGGCGAAAATAAAACAAAATGGATGAATAACATCGTAACATTTAATCGAAAACGTTTATACAACACTGATCGTTATATAATTATTTGTATACAGCCGATGGATGATACTTTAAAAAGTAGTAATCCATGTTACATTACACCCATTATGGCTAACAGCTTATGACCTCAGACCTGTGAATGACCTTAAACCTCCACTCTGCAGATCAAGTGGCTCAACGATTACCACAAGCGAGTTGAGGAGGAGATTGGACCAAAGCTGAGTGCAGCTGCACTGCAGTGGGTGAAGGCAAGAACCATGCCCATCTCGTACCAGACAACCAACTCCGCCACGACGTATACACATAGTGTGCTGTTCATGATGGGGGCTGCGGTAGTGTCGCTGATGTCGCTGCGATGAATCCATTCGCCTTTAGTTGCAAGATATTTTGCCCTTGTTAATTAGAACATTTGATTTACGAAAAAAACCAAACAATTCTCATAGTAATTATGCTTGTCACTTTCTTGGAATAGTGGAACGATCAGAACCTCTCTTCTTTAATCACATGTTGATCTCCCCTGTCGAGTAAACTAGTAAAATTGAATTAAAATTCAGGTTTCAAAATATCTTTGAATAATTTCGTCATTCCTTTTCTATTCTCAGGCAATAGTGACAAATGCAAACTCATATTTGACTAAATTTGTATATTAGCAATCAACGGCATTGTGTATATATTAACCATATATCTGGTTTGGTTTGTATGAAGACGCACTCAACTGTTTGCACACCAACAATGAAACCTCCGATGTCTGTTTAGTTGTTATGGAATATTTAGACATGGTGGAGAATTTCTTAATGTTTTATTTACAGACGAGGTTATTAATGACAGTATTTTGATATACCTGTGCCTTACCTGCATTTCTTGCTTTAACTATACTCATGCCAATAATGGTTGTCACCCCCTTCATATTTTTTAATTGGAGAGGGGGTGTGGTGTGGGGTGTGGGAGGGGGTTGTATAGTATGCAATTTGACCGTCTTTTCCTTCCCTGATGTTTGACTTCATATCATGCACCTCTACAATGTCTTCATTCGCCATAATATAGGGCATCGAAATACCGAATTTTACAAAAAAACATCAAACATCAAGCATGTACAAGACCTACACCTTATGCCTTGAACCATAATGGACCCCATCATAACACAGAGGCGAATTAGGTGTTGCTTCTTAATTTAGTGCAAAATATTCTCGAACTGGGACATTTTAACAAGTTTGCTTTCTTGTCTAGAATTTTTTTAATCTCAAGTTCATCGTATTAAGTCTACGAGGTTCCAAAGACAGTTATATTTACTGTTGCCTCTTTCTATATTCACATACCCGGTCACCATTGCAACACTTGTTATTTGTGTACACGAAGGAAAATACCCTAATAAATATTAGGAAAATAATATAAGAACTGAATAAACAGAAGGTTGTTGTAGGAGGTGTAGATTCAATCCAGCTTGTTGTAGATTGTTGTATATATTGGTCAGTTCTAAACAGAAACGGTATGATTTGCATATGATTCCATGTATATTGTTGTATGAAAATCTTTAATAAAACCTTTTATACCTGTTCATGATGGTTTTGTGCATGGATCAACAACACATCAGATTACAAACATACGCACAAACTCTCTTTCACCCACATGTGCTTGTTCAAGCTAAACCCCAGATCACATCTCACGTTTTTAAAAGGTTGGTCTTAATGTAGCTGTTATATTTCTGACCTCAAGCTGAAACAATCCAAGCAGGGAAGAGTGAATGTCATGTATATGTTTGGCTTGGTTGGTGCAATCGTAATACTGATCCAGAAATTTCTCCACATGAAACAAACCCTCGGTCTTGTGATCGCCTTTCATCAGGTCTGTGTTGATTTGTGAATATGTTTGAAACCGTGATGAGAAGTTATCTAATAGTGATTCTTATCGGTTTTGGGTTCTAGAAATTCTATTTGGACTTAAAAGCAAGGAACTCTTGTTTAGAATGATTGGTAATTTAATATAGATCTGTCTTGTTATATTCATCCATCACCCCTTTTCTAATGACGACACTTTATTGGCATGGTATCTCAGCGGGCTAGCACTATAAAACCAGCTTCAGTCTGGGCTAGTACAAGCAGCCGCACATACACATAAACTATAATACACACGCATGTACGTCGTCATATGAGCGAAATATTCTCAAGTACGACGTTAAACCCAATTTCACCTCAGCTCACCTTGTAAATCATACCATGATAACAATAGCATCATAAATCATGTATTTACTCCCCTTGTTACATGAATGGTGGAGTGAATATGCTCACGCACTAAAGAAATGATACATTTCCTGATGTATAAAAAGTTGCGGAAAAGAGTGCTTCGTATGAAGTGGTATAAAAATAATATGTTTAAAAATACCAACATAGATCAATGTTTTATCTTTCATTGACAAAATTACAGGATATTGAAATAGTCAGAGCTGTCTGTTATTGTGTCAATTTGGTATAGATTTCGCAGATGCACCAACCACATATGGTTGTGTTGTTGACGCGATGTCACATGTGGACGACTGGCCGATGGCATGTTACGAGTTTTGCCCTGTAGACAACGTCTGCAAAGAGATTGTGTTTTATGAACATTAAAATGTCTCCCCACTAAACGTCTGTTTAGACCTATTCTTGTTTGCAGTATATGCTCGGCGCGTATGTGGTGATTTTCAACCAATAAATTATAAAGTTTTTCAAAGAGCAAATTATAGGTAAGCAAACATCGTGAGCTGTTTACATCAAACAACCCAACGTGTGTGTTTTCACTTTCCAACAAAAACTGAAATATGCACGTGTAAATTTTAAACCAGTGAATCAGAATATGTATACATAATGAATATCAGAATAAATTACTTTTATTAAACGTTGCTTTTTATAATGTTTATTGTGTTCTGAACGTCGTCGTATGCCCATGATACCAAAATATAGCGACAAAATCTATAACCATAAAAATATCTTCTGAAGGAGTCCTCCTTACAACATCGTAAACAGTGGAATCCACTTCTAGGATAGTCAAAACTGGGTTTTCCTTTGCACCGAATCCTGTACAACTAAGCCTTCTATGTGCTTCCATCCTTTCCTATATTAACCATGGTGGGCCCGGATGACAAATGATATAATTTTGCATGACATATGGCATATACGCGGGCAATTTAATGTCATGTCGACCCAAGTCGGTATTGTTAATGTAAAAATTTAGTCTGCACTAAATCGATTAAAGGGATACGCCTGTCTTTGTATGAAGATTAGAACGGTGTCATAAACATCGGTCAGTTTATGGCGTGATAGAACGTCAAGTGTTTGAAATGTTTACAAGGTTATACAAGTGGTCTTCAGGATAGAAGAACAGGGTGTCATTTAGATGTTCGCCGCCTCTTGGTAACGCCGTGTTACAGGACAACGCAGTTGGCGAAATGACCCGGGGAACATTCGCAGTTTTACTTGCCGTAGGTAGGTCAACAATGTCTTCAAGTTGCTATGATTCCATTGCAGCTTAATGACACTATCGTAATTGATGTGGGTCGCAATGTGTGAAGCTTTGAAAGATTCTTTGCAATTTATAATGTTATGTGGTTATTCAGACATTGACTCTCTTGTTGATTTGGCATACGACTTTCTTATAAACAATGAACACGTTTTTATAAAAATTGAGCACATTTTAAATATACAATAGAAAAAGAGAGAACAGAGAAACGCTGTAATTAACTTGCGTCAAAGCTGTGAACGACTGCGCTGCGTCTACTGTGCTGAAATTTACGTAGATAGTAAGATCTATATTGCCATATTAAATACTTTTTCTTGTGGATTTCATTAAAGTGGAAACCGTCTCGGCTTACGTCACTTTAGGCTTTCGTCACACACAGATTTGACACGTCGCCATGCAAGGTTGAGTTGCAGAAACCTGCTTAAAACCAATACCCGATCTCTTAGATAATACTTACATGTTTCAACTCATATGATTTACTTTTATTTAAGATGTACACCAAATGAAAACAACTTATTTTTCTATTCGTCAAATTCCCATTGAAGTATTTTGTTGACCGCCTTTCTCTCTTACCCTTCATATACTTAATATATTTAGTTAATATGTGCAGGATGTCGCATAAAGGTAACCAGTGGATAATTACTGGCATTATATAAAATTGCAGTCATTTACGAAGGTTTTCTTTGCACGCACAGTGGCACTGGCGTCATGTGACTCCTTAGGTCAAGGTCAACCACATGTACGGCACCGACGTTTAGCCGTGGAAGACAGACCGAACTGCCAACCCGGGGCGGTGAGAATTTTATATCCTGTAGATTTCATATGCCTATCCATTATTGCATATAGGCAATATGTCTTATGATTTCCTGAGGTTAGTATCAGTATCCCATATTACAGCAACAAACGTGTACTACAACATCCACTACAACAGCAATTCCCGTGTTCGATCCCCACATGGGTACACTGTGTGAAGCCCATTTCCGGTGTCCCCGGCCGTGATATTGCTGGAATATTGCTAAAAGCGACGTAAAACCATACTCACTCACTCTTCATATTCGACACATATATATTGTTGTCCTATATGCAAATAGTCACTTGTAGTAATGTTTTCCGATGTGCTGCCAATATGTAAATCTCCAATCAAGAAGGCCAATGTGCATGTCTTTCTTGAGCAGTAGATTCTTAATGCTGAATGTTTAACAATGTGTCACTATTGTGTAATAAATCACCGTCTACCATATACTTTATGGATAACAAGTTCTTTATTATAGGCCTATATGATCACTCTTGCTTGACAACGGTATAAGAACCTATAAACGCGAAACGTTGGATCATATATAATAATCTTACTTTCTTATTACTCACTAACTTCTGAAATGCCAATCAAACATACCATATATATAACTGAATAATGCATAATGTTGTTCCTCAGACGCCACCCCCGACTGTGGTCGATACAACTGAGCGCTTACATGACATCAGACAGTTGTTAGCGGCATGGCCCGATGGAGGTATAGATGCTTACATCGTGCCTAGCGAGGACGCCCATCAGGTGACTGTTCCAGGTGTCTCTAGGACCTGTAGGTTACCGTATTTATTATCATACAGATAAATACGTGAACTCTCGTTATACGTGCCTGCGTTCATAGCGGCGCCTCGCTGGTGTAATCCACTAAATGGTATCTACAGATCACGGAAATAGAATCGAACATCGGATCCTGATGAGGCTAAGGGACGCAATGTCACCCAGTTTCGTTTGCCGATTGTTTTCTTTCATAAATCCGTTTAACTAGTTACTAATTAATGAACAAATCATTTCATTTCCCATTGCTTAAATGAAATATATTGTTAAGAAACCCATACTTTATTACTTCCAATCCTGCGGATTTACCGTAACCCCATGGAATAAGGAGCGTCTCTGTGATTTTAGAGCGAGTACCCGTCGGATTATGACCAAAGACGAGGCTACATATCTGGCTTCACCGGATCAGCAGGTTGGTGTCAGAGCACACACACACACACACACACACACGCGCGCGCACGCACGCACGCACGCACACACGCACACAGACACACACACAAAGCGAGCAAAGCAGGGACGAGAGGCAGTGTTAGTGACTGTGATGCATGCACACATGTTTGTGTTATATATATATAGTTGGAATGGACCATTGGACTCTTCTTTCAACAGATATATCACATGATTCTGGAATGCGGTTTCCCTTTTTATGATATCGCTTCAGACTTTTTCTTCAGTTATTCCTCATTAGCATCCCAATGATTTCCAAGTGTCTTGTTTCAAGTATTCTCAGTTTTATCGTAGGACTGTAAAAGTGGCGGTAAAGAGATCTGAGGTTACCGATTAAGAAGTAAATTCAACGTTTATACGATTCATATGAAATGTTCTGTGACGCGATGATGAATTATTTCCATATCTTTACAGTTGTTCGTAAAAATATCACTCGGGATTTGTAATCTGTAATTCCGATTTTTTTTCTGTAAGTCTTTCACTCGCTATGATGTAATTAAGCGATGCTTCTGTGACCCTGGCATATTCGCTACTGCAGGCGATGAGAAGGCTGCAAACGAAGATTTGTTTCGATTTTCCTTGTTTTATGGCACTAATAGAATTGATCTAGCAATGACCTGAGATATTGGCCATGCCTTTCCAATGCAGCCAATATTATAAATGGTAAATGATAAGAGTTGAAGAACATTTTCGAACTATTTAAAATGTTTGAATGCTTATTTTACTTACATGGACATTTACAATGTGGTTTGTGTAAGGCACGGCGGTAGTCCTGGCGACTCATGCGGCGGTATGGACAGACGGACGCTACCACCTGGAGGCGGAGGATACCCTGGACTGTAACTGGATACTCATGAAACAAGGCAGGTCCAACCATTATATTTGTGTTGAAATTGTGCAAAAGACAGCATCCAGACTTTTAGTTCTAATAAGCTTTCGACTTTACCGCGTATGTTAAAATATGTTAAAAACATAAATGCAGGTTTTGATTATTTCAATACATAGGAATTGTACTAAATACGCTGTAATGGACAAATTCCCTATTTTGTTAACTGCCGTCGTTCACTATTTAGTTAATACGTGCAGGATGTCCATAAAGGTAACCAGTGCATAATTACTGGTATTTTATCAAGTTACAGTCATTGAAAAATATTTTCTGTTGCACGCACAGCGGCACTGGCGTCATGTGATCCCTTAGGTCAAGGTCAACCACATGTACGGCACCGACGTTTAGCCGTGGAGGACATTATTAAATACGTGTAATAGACATTCTAGTTAGATAATTGCTTATATCACTATGTTAAGTAAGCACGATATTCATTGTGTTAGCTTTGATTGAAACGTTCCATTCAAACACAATGCTATCGGGGTCCATGTTATACGTAAATAAAGGGAAGTGACTCTGGTATTTAAGCCTGACTGGGACGTTTCAGTTGGTACTTGTAGAATAGCGTATTTCCAGTTCACTGTCAGTGTCGGTCCTGTATTTCTAGGGGTCGAAGGTGTCCCGTCCATCTCTGACTGGTTGGTGGACCAGCTGAAGAACATACCTGGAGCCAGGGTGGGCGCGAACCCCTTCCTCATGAATGCCCGTATGTCATAGTTGGATTTTCCATCATCAGTAAAGTTCTAATTTACAATGACATATGTGCTTTGTTTAATGTCGATGTTTTGTTCCATGTCTAATTAAGAAACTTTAATCGAGAGTCCAATGAACAAAGAACATGGATTAGCTGGCACATTGAGGTATTTCTGAGTGAGTGAGTGAGTTGGGTTGTACGCCGCTTTTAGCAATATACCAGCAATATCACGGCGGGGGACACCATAAATGGGCTTCACACATTGTGAACGTGTTGGGGATTCGAACTCGGGTCGTCTGTGTGACGAGCCGACGCTTTAACCATTAGGCTACCCCACCGCCCCGAGGTATATCTATCAGGCGGAACCAGCCTAGTCCATACACATACGCGTTCTCTTTCGCTGCCACCACGGATACCTAACAAGCGTACCTTGAGATATTGATGATATTGTAAAAAAATAATAATGTGTATAACTACTAAATGACAAATACATTCAAGGTACATGGACATCCTACTCGACCATTTTCGCAAAGGCAGGGATATCGATGGTAGAGGTCAACGATGACCTTATCGACCAGATCTGGATTTCCGATCGGCCCCCACAGCCCAGCACCGCTATAAATGCTCTGCCAATGGAATATGCAGGTAAGTTCCTTATGAGTAACGACTCATTTTATGGATGTATAAATCGGGATATTAGTAATATGATTAATACCATCACGTTTCCTTCCAAGATCAGTTTAATAATCGCCATTGGTGTGCTTCTAAATCTAATACGACGCCAGGGTCTGATGGTAATGGAAACCGGTCTCCAAACACCATTATTTCATTGTTTCACTATGGACATAGTGGATGTTCCACCGTGCTTGTGAAAAGGTCGAACAAATGCTTCTCACCAAATAGGTGATGTGACATATCTTAAAACCTACAAAAAAAGTACAAAATATTTACGACGTGTCTTACAAAGCTTGTGTCATCATACTCAACCTCTATTTACATGGGGCAGGAAGGAGTGAGAAAGTGATGTTGAGGCTGCAAGGATCAAATGTTGGTTCTAGAATCTAAGTTCGTTTTACGAACTCAATTCAATTTGTGGTATGTCGTCAAATATTCAGTGAGTGAGTTAGCGTCAGATGTTGACCTCCACATGGTCGATCAAACTAGGGTGTTATCCGTGACAAGCGACTGCTTTAACCTTTGGGCTAAGCTACACACTTCGTATTTCCAGGGAGGAGGTGGGAGGACAAAGTCAATGATGTGAGAAACAAATTTGATTCAAAGGGAGCAGGGGCATACATTGTGACCAGCCTTGACGAGACTGCATGTAAGTATGTGTGATTTACACAAATATTGTCTTCTCTGGGTCCTGCGTATGGTTATTTATCCACACTTATGGTTGCTGACGTTGCTGTAGCGTATCCTGATGTATAAAGTGTGTCGATCGATGCTCGTGCTATCGCTCACTGGATCGATTAACCTGCCATAACATAGCTGAAATATTGCTGACAAGGGTGTTAAACAAATATGGTAGAAGAAAAGATATGTTTGCGATCAGATTTGTAAGCATGATTTGTAAACTTGTTTCTTTTTAATAAAATGGAACACTGACCTTTTTTGTGTCAAGGTACTCGACTACATTTATGTGTTTCTACAATGAATACACCACACGCTTTAAGACGCCCATCTTCTCAATAGTACATATTTTTATATCTTTTTATTATCTTTCTTGAGGATTGACGACGATAATACATTTTAGAAATTGTTTGTTCATAATTCTGACCTTTGCTGAAAGTATTAAGTGAGCGTTTGTATACAGATTAACCAACAACACAAGGAAACTCCTAAAGCACGTGAGAGATAACGTGGATACTGTCGGTACATGCATGCGTGCACACATATACATATCATTAAATATGTCGCACTGTTCACATGTACATTGTATCAATGTTCACGATATGTGCCATGTGCTAGGGTTGTTCAACGCCCGTGCTACCGACATCACCTACAACCCGTTCTTCATCTCATACGCCATCGTAGAGACGAATAGAGTCAGGTAAGCTGTGCCATTATCCATTGTATTCATTTCTCTCCTTCTCCCTTCTCGTTCTCGCGTGAGAGCCGGGTAAAAGTTGGGCTTCAGTAGCCCATGCTTGTCGTAAGAGGCAACTAACAGGATCGGGTGGTCAGGCTCGCTGACTTGGTTGACACATGTCATCGTATCCCAATTGCGTAGATCCATGCTCATGATGTTGATCACAGGATTGTCTGGTCCAGACTCGATTATTTACAGACCACCGCCATATAGCTGGAATATTGCTACGTGCAGCGTTAAACAACAAACCAGCCAACCAACTTTCTCTCTCTCACCCTGTCTCTCCGTTTGTCTACTCTCTCTCACCCTGTCTCTCCGTTTGTCTACCCCCCTCCCCTCTCTCTCACACACACACTCACATAGACGTAAATGAGGCACGTCTCGCACGACGTCATCCTTTCAATGTAACGAGTTTCGTACTTAATGACTTCATCTAATTCAGAAGCACAGTTCAACACAACTGACTGGTGATTACTGATATTGTTTTCTGTCCGGTATACATCAGGCTATATCTACTGAACCACATAAGCAAGTTGACGGACAATCCGACAGATGAAGCCACCACTGAGAAGTTGAATGAACATCTGAACACAGGGACGGATGGCTCCTGTACATCACAAGACATCTGCGTGGAGGTAACTAACATCAGGGTAGTTACACCCATACCCAGAAGTAGGCGGGGTGTCTACGCGTTCATGTGAGCATTTAATTTGTACGTGCGCTAATACTTTGTGAGGTAATATATGATTACAATTTATGGTAATACTTGTCACCATGTTTCGAATTGCTGTTGACAAGTTGCATTGATATGAACTGATTGATGAGTATGTTGGTGAACCTTTATGTAGCCAGACATTAACAGACCGAGGCATTTGGATACCTGAGCACAAAATTTGAGTTTCACATTTTGAAATATTCAAATGGTGTGAGCATCGTTATTACAATATTGGTGCAAATAAAAAAAATCTTAATTCTTTGCTTTTGATATTATTTTTCTTAAATTTGTTTTATCGGACAAATCCACGGTCTGGATAATTTGTGAAAGCTAGTTCTACTCCCTATTTCTTGACATAATTATAATGCTTAGTAATCAACGAAAGGTCATGTAAACAGTGCAAAGACAGACGGAAGGTTACATAGGTAATTTCTGTAGCGACATGGATAGTTGTTTTATCATTTGTGATACTTGGAAAAAGCCAGGACATATCCTACGGAGACAGAGCAAATGAATCCCTTTATATGGCATCACTATATGAAAAATATGAATATTTGTAACAAACTGAATGTCATATATTATAGGTGTTGGCCTACAATGCCACAGCAGTGATTGAAGACATCAAAGCTATCGCGAAAAGCAACGTCAGCATATGGGTGTCACTGCTCTGTAACCAGGCTATATACAGCGCCATACCTGAGGTGGGTCTATTACACATAACACCATTAGCATACAGGTATCACTCCTGTATAACCAGGCTATATACAGCGCCATACCTGAGGTGGGTCTATTACACATAACACCATTAGCATACAGGTATCACTCCTGTATAACCAGGCTATATACAGCGCCATACCTGAGGTGGGTCTATTACACATAACACCATTAGCATACAGGTATCTCACTTGTATCCTGTATAACCAGGCTATATACAGCGCCATACCTGAGGTGGGTCTATTACATATAACGCCATTAGCATACAGGTATCTCTCTTGTACTAGTATATCCAGGCTATATACAGCGCCATACTTGAGATGGGTCTATTACACATAACACCATTAGCATACAGGTATCAGAACCCTGTATACAGGTATTCTCCTGTATAGCCAGGCTATATACAGCGCCATACCTGAGGTGGGTCTATTACACATAACACCATTAGCATACAGGTATCACTCCTGTATAACCAGGCTATATACAGCGCCATACCTGACTTGGGTCTATTACATAACACGCATTAGCATACAGGTATCACTTTGTATAACAGGAAAATATCCATTGCCATACCTGAGATAACCATTGCAATATACATTGCCATATAGCGCCATACTTGAGGTGGGTACGTTATTACACATAGCACACCATGATATGGATTTATACAGGTATCACTCTTGAATCCATATAACCAGAGGCTATATACAGCGCCATACCTACAGCTCGTGGGTCTATTATTACAGGTCGTTATATACAACCATTATCGTGCATACAGGTTATCTCAACCTTGTACAATGGAGTATATCCAGTCTATATACAGCGCCATACTTGAGATGGATTTAAACGCTCGATTACACGTTGAATCCATATCACCATTAGCATACCACGAGGGCGCCGCAGGACTCGTATCTTGTTGCTCTGTATACCGACCAGGCCGTTATCCACATATCAACCTCTGCCGTGCAGACCAGAAGGTTGATACGCAGAAAAATCCACCTGCCGGAACAATGGCATTGTCACGCCCTAGTGGTATCACTACTTATTAACCAGAACATATTCAACGCCATACCTGAAGTAGGTACATTACAATAACAAATAACCTATACACTGTCACATAATGTCTGTCAGTTGGCAAATGTGATGTTCTGAGACAATGGTGAAAAGAAACGTACAAAAGACGCTGTCCGGGAACACCAACGGGTTTGTAGACACTTGTGTAGCATCATCGACTTTGAAGAAAAAGTACATTTTCCATGCATCTTGACGTTCTATGTAACTTGGTTTTAGTAGCGTGTATACTCTGTTAATGAATTTGATCTCTGTCAGAAACACTCAAGCATGACTTCTTCTTGATAGGATCAGAGAATCCATGACAAGTCCGCCATTGCGTTAATGAAGTCTCAGAAGAATGAAGTAGAGAGAGCTGGAATGCAGGCTGCACATGTAAGAAGGGTGTAGTCTTATTCTCCAATATTGACTAATAATGAAAACAGACATGTTCCTAAATGAAATCTGTTGTTTAAGGTATTGTTTTGATCTTAAGTAGAACGTAGGTAAAGCAAAAGTTTAAATTTACATCATCACTGATTTAGCGATACATTCATAAAATGCTCATCGCCATTTTGTCTGTTACGCTTATTGGGTCTCTTTCGTCGGACAGGCGAGACTGGTTGTTCTCTGGCATTAACGTATTATATTACCTATTATCTTTTGTGTAGTGAAACAAATGAAGTACAGATGACAATGATATTATACACACACAGTTCAACAAATCTACCATTGTCATGAAATTGTCGGAAACACGAACTGATGTACAATCATATTCTATGTTTCAGATCCGTGATGCAGTGGCCCTGATAGAATTCATGGAAAAACTCGAACGTGAAGTAAGATCATATGGATGTCACATTTATATAAAAACATTATGTCACACCATGTTTTCTTGACTGCGATCGCTTTGGAGCATGTGGCGTTGGGATCTGGGGTGGAATTGGAAGGAATCAGATGATTGTGAGTGATAGGATCTTAAAATTCCGAGATACCGGGATGAGATTTCTGTTTTACTGTTTGTGCATGACAGCCCATGACGTCAGACATTTCCCTGTACCAGACCGAATTCTGCACTCACGGTCAGAGTTGATGTAAAACCTCTCTTCAACAACTCTCTGCATTGTTTCAGGTGAAGGCAGGAGAATACTGGTCCGAAGTTACTGCTGATGCTGATCTCAAAGAGCACAGACTGTGAGTATGGTAAATTAAAATCTGATCAAAACTGAACACTTCTATAGTCTTTTACTCCAGTCAATTTAGCTAAGTCTCAGGAGCGGATTGTATGTGATGGAAAGCGCCGTAGTCACTCCAGGATCCGTTTATCTTGTTTTCGAATCCATTGTTCGAAGTAATTCGTAGTTTGACATCACACAGTGATGGTCTGTTTCATAAAGTGGTAAACGTCGGCGCAATGCAATGTACTTGACTACATAACTGAAAACTGGAAATAGGTTACTTCATAACAACATGGGGTGGATAAATTACGTTTCAGCGAGCAGGATAAAAACCGTGGACTGAGTTTCGGCTCCATAGCTGGGTCTGGATCTAACGGCGCCATTATCCACTACCGCCCCACCGACGCCACAGACAAACAGATCACCACATCAGATATGTTCCTTCTTGACTCGGGTGGACAATATCTGTAAGTTTTGCACTGTAGGAAAAGTGTGACATCATTAGCGGTTTCAATTTTTCCAATTTGATTAGATTATGGACGGTAAATTTTCAACGGGAGACGTGTGTTATAAAATTAACAATCACACTCATTGTCCAGATGGCAAGCGAGATTCCTTTAAACCTGAAATACACTGACACAACTACATTGATTACAGACACGATCACTATCATATTGTTGTTAAAACAGGGCATTTGTTAGGTTTCATTTGTGATTTATATTATCAGTATGTTTGCCTTGTTGCATAGAAACGGTAAAATATAGACAAAGTTATTGTGGCACACAAACAACAAACAGAATCAGGGTTAAACCTTTACTACCGTGAATATAATGTCACTACACGGCTACCGCATCCCAATACTGAAGGCACTCTGATCCGTCATTAAGCTTTTGACTCGTTACCAAAATATCTTTAAAAATGGTACACTTTTTAAATTGATAATTTCATTCTGGAATGATTATTGTTATTTCTTTGTTATCAAGGCAAAGATTAGTTAATAACATTAGTGAATGAATACAAACAATTTATACAACAATCAGTAATATATTAAGACTATAAAACCTGAAAACAATGGACAGTAAAACATCCAGAATATGACAGAATTCAAACTTAAAACTAGCATGTTGTCAGAAAAAGATCTCACAATACAGACCAATACAATATAAAACTGGGCTATAGATCACTAGCAGCACTACCGTACTTCTGTTTCCTGCAGACCGCCTCCGTGGTATAGTGGTTAGAGCGGAATGTCGTGGTTAGTGGAATGTCGCGGGTTCGAACCCCGACCGAGTCATTCCAAAGGACGTTAAAATATGGTACTTGTTGTTCCCTGCCTGGCGCTCGGCATTAATTGGTACAACAAGGACTGATCGGCTCGGAGTCGGTATAATGTGTCTGAGTGGGGTATTCATGCTTAACTGTGGCATGGTATCTCAGTGAGCTAGCACTATAAACCAGCTTAAGTCTTGGCTAGTACAAGCAGCCACACATACACACGCATGCATGTCGTCATATGAGCGAGATATTCTTATGTACGACGTTAAACCCTATTTCCTGTTACCTGCATGGTACCCCAGCTGGAGTTACACCATCCCTCTGGCTACTGCCGATTATGAGTGTTATACAGTTAACATACAGTTAATACAAATAAATACTTGTAGTCTATGGCCTTACGTTCCTTCTCATGGGGACAATCATTTTAAGCAACTTCACCCCCAACTAACAATCTCAGTTATGACTTCATTTAGTTAATAACACTGTTGATCATGATATCGTTTTATCTCCCTCATGATGTTCACAGTGACGGCACCACCGACGTCACCAGGACCTTCCATTTCGGCGTTCCCACTGACTATCAAAAGGTTAGAGAGTCAAATATAGTCATTACCGAAATTCGTAATCATATGGGGACATATTAACACTGAGCTGGTACAGAGCTGTTATATGCAGTTATACTGATTCAGCTATTAGTTCTTCAATAACTGTATACAGTGTGCGAATTAGCCACTGGCCCGCTAGCCCATGGCTAGTAAAAATCCAGTCGGACGAGTAAATCTCCATAGTCCCGACTGGCTGATGAATTTTCATGGGGACATTTTGTAAATATATCACTCTCCGACTTGTTAAGTTATAATACACTTCGAAAGCATGAAAGGTTATGTTCTGATAAAAATGTTCTTCGTATTAACAGGTTAATGATGAAACCCGTATCTACATGCAAATTTCGGGCCAGTGAATTATTTTGTGGGCTAGTAACTTTCAGGTGTAGCTAGTCCGACTGACCAGCAAAATTTGGAAACTATTTCGCACACTGACTGTATATCTACTTATTATAATAATATTCTCAAGTGAGCTTAAGTTCGGGAACTTTCATAGAACCATCATGGGAGTCTGGTCCGCTGGGCGTTGGTATGATTTCTGTGTTCCTTTGATGAAATGTTTGCTATGTTAACACTATTCATGATAAATCAGTCCGTTTAATTTTGCAGAAGGCTTTTTCTACTATTTCTTAAGAATGTGAAGTAGTAATAGATAGAAATAGTTATGTCGCAAATCATAGTATATGCACAATGGACAATTGTACAGACAATTAAACCTTCAACAGCAATGTCGTAAATACAAACTCTTATTGCCTTGGCTTTGTGACCCTTCTTTCAGTATTGTAACATACAGGTAACATGTTTTTAATAAAGTAATACTTAAGCTTTGATTCTTTCGATTTCGTGATTGGCTTACAGTGTATAGTGTATGTGTAATACGTTAACTGTTAATCAGTTTATTTATCATTTATAAAAATATTCATCCAATCTTTATACCACGCAGGAGTGCTACACCAGAGTACTGATGGGTCACATCAACCTGGCCCTGCTCAAGTGGCCAAAGGGACTCCTTGGTATGACAGAACTGTAGAAATCCGGTTGTTGATATCCTGTTTTTTGTCCTGATATCCTGATTTTCTTCCAACCAGGAAGTTTAATTGTGATCATCCGTCTCTAAATCAGAATAATTACTGGAAGTGGGGGGAAACGGGGACACTATCAACTAACCGCTAGTCACAACACCATTCGTCAGGCACCGTATTTCTCAATTCAATATTCAGTGCAGTATGAAAATACAAGGTTCTGATTTGTTTTGACACAACAGTAATACACAGCAATTGTTCAGTCGGGATCATGCATGCACTCAGTGGAATTGATACCTGCACTTGATACAAATAGTTTAGTAGTATATACTACTACAACAGAACGCACACCAGATCTGTTGCAGGCCATTGTTTGTATATGTACTATTGTGGGCATGGATGACATTGTCGTCGAAGTCGCAACTATGGTTTTGCAGAGTTGCCTCGCTTAGGCACACACGGATCCTAAAACGGTCCGAATCCCGTGTTGGTGAGTTTTTCAAGCGGGTAAATTCCCTGCAACACTTTGGGTTTACCTCTGACTTTAAACTGACACATCTTGATACCCTTAAAACCTCACTCCTTAAGCACTACCCTGCTTTCTTCTCATGGACAGTAAACTATAGTGGTATTGCAGGTCGAGAAATAGACGCCATAACGCGAGCCCCCCTATGGGAAGTTGGACTAATATATCGCCACGGCACAGGGCACGGGATAGGGGCTTACCTCAGCGTCCACGAGGGACCCGGCAGAATCTCCCTGTCCCATGCTCTCAATCCCAGTGATGAAGCTCTCGACCAATACATGTTCTTCTCAGATGGTAAGTCTAAGGTATTATCAAAACTTCATGGTAATGATATGTTAAGAACTTGCCACTTAATATTCCTTGGCGTTATTCATAGAGAGTAGACAGTTACATCCTATATAACTTGTGTGTGTATAAAACCTGAGGTCAAAAGATTACATCACTATATTCTGGAACAATTCGTGAAAATGCTAATGATGGTAATGATAGTATTTGATCCAATAAACAATAAATGTTTGTTTGATGATTACAGTGCTCCACATTTATAGATCGTTTGGTCACAAATACACTTCCCTTCCACAGAGCCAGGTTACTACGAGGACGGGCAGTTTGGAATTCGACTTGAGACAATTGTAATGGTTGAACAGGCCAACGTTATAGTAAGCCTCGATTGCTGCTTATTCAAAGTTACATACAACAAAGGTCACATGGTAAATTTAACAGGATCGCATGATTTGGTCCCAATCTGAAAACAATCATAAAGATAATTCCAGCGGTCAATTATTTTTCACATCGAACGAAGTATTGTGTATTGTCTGTATCGTGTTGCAGTATCCATTCCCTGACACAGAGTATCTGGGCTTTCGACCCATCACTTTGGTGCCTTATGAGCCTCATCTTATCAAGACGGAGATGCTTAGCACTAAACAGGTGGTGACCCTATATTAAATCAGCGATGTAAAACTGTATAACTGATGCGTTTGGCATATGGACTGAAAAACTTCACGGTTTCATTTGTTAAAATAGACATATATGAAGTGTCAGTGCCAAAGAATAAACTCTCTTCAGTTTCCAAAGGAAAGATTTAACTTATGAATTGGTCACTGAAAACAAGGTGTTTGTGAAGGGTGTCCAGCCATATCCTTAACAACAGCTACTCATACAATATGCAAAAGGTATACATTGAATAGACATTGAGAGATAACATTAAACAAATTCTTGATCTTAGATTTATAATAGCCACCCTTATGCATTCCAAGAATTCTCTGTTCGGTGATGAACTTAAAAATATGGGTATCTTTTCTGCATGTTGTAATTTTAGTGCATGGGTGTTGTATACTCATCACACTACACAGTTTACAGGAGGTATTGGTAGGATGGTTTCATAAGAAACAACTCAGAGTTGTGTTGGCCATAACCTTCAGCAATCAAACCTCTGAGTTGTAGATCCAATGGCTCAACGATTACCACAAGCGCGTTGAGGAGGAGATTGGACCAAAGCTGAGTGAAGCTGGACTGCAGTGGGTGAAGACGAGAACCCAGTCCATCTCTACGCAGACTGCGAGCTCCGCACAGCGCCATGCACCAGCTTTGCTACTCACTGTATTGTGTATCGTCTTGTGGCGGAGTTATCTTAATTGACAAATCACGCATTGGAGTCATTTGTATTGATAGCCAGTTTAACGTCTGGGTGTGAGAACATATACACTTGTCAAAAGATGGGTGCAGACGTCATTATCAAGAGAAATAATTATTCTCTCAATATCACTTCCAATATCACTTAATCAATTCATTAATAGACAAGGGAAGTAAGGTAAACCAAATTAAGGTGGCATGTATCCTGTAATCGGGTGGTAATGTATGGTTGATCTGACCACTGATTTAATAAGGTAAACGTGTGTTAAAATGACATTGTTTTGTTCATCTTCTTGTGAAAATTTCAATGAATATACAAATTACCCCTAACATATATACACACCTACATAAATTAAGACACATCTATCGAGTCCAAAGATCCTTTCACATTATGAGATATCATAATATAATACCGATAATTGTTTAAACTGCAAAATACATTTCCGTAACCCCAAGTTCTTTATTGCTATTAAACAGTTGATTTCTGTTGGTGTTCTCTTTATTGTTACTAATTACTTATCAACAGAGAATACTCGGGTAAATGTATTCTGAAGCTATGTTGTACAAGTTGTACGTGTTATATGCTTACACAAGGTGGGGTCTCTGGGGAATAAAAGTATTAACGGTAATGTTTCAGCATTAGTAACACTGTACTAAATAATTACGTGCATGTGTGGATATAAAGTCAAAGTGAGAAAACTCTTTCTTCCAAAGGCGTAGAGGTATGTGTTTATACATCCCTGTTGTGGTGATACCAGGTGTTCGAGAATAGGTGACCGTACTCGTTATCGACATAAGAAGAGTTAGTCAAAGAAATCACAGGAACATATGGTATAACTAATTACAGGGAATTGCATCATAAATATGTACATGTTATTCCATCAAGATTGCCATCGGTTGTTGTTTCAACAAGCTGACCACAAACTCAGTGAAAACACTATAGGATCGCGGATATTGGTATAAACTAGTATCAGGGGCGGATACAGCTTTTTGAGAAAGGGGTGGGGGTGCACACTCTTGAGAAAGGCGGTGGGGGTTGCACACTTCATTTTCACTCGTTTTCACGGGTCATTTGATAAACTTTCAGGACAAAAGGGGGGCGGTAGGGTGGGTGTGAGTGTGTATGTGTGTGTGGTGTGTGGTGTGGTGGGGAGTGCCCACCCCTGCACCCCAGCTCTGGATCCGCCTATAGGTATGTAAACATTATGTTTTCAAAACCATACATTCTAAAACGAAGCTTAAATTCTGTCAATTAATTCAATACTTTGAATGAAATTAAACTTACGTACCTTTACAGGGAACAATCATTTTACACTACTTCCACCTCCTTGGAAAGTACAGCAGCTAAAAATAATAATTATGTATTCATTCTTCCAAATTGATAGTTTTACTTACTATTTACAGAATATATTCGTATAAAATTCTGTCAATTAATCCAATTTCTTTTAAAATCCCAATAGCTAAATGTGAACTGATATTTAAGATCCTTCAAGGTCCAAACCTTGAAATAGTTATCTCTCGTGATGGCAACATCAATACAGTCGTTTAATCGTAAGCTACACAGTATGGAGGATTCTCACCCTTCGACAAACTTAATATTCATGAGCATATCGTGAATGGCCAATACGATATCGTCTTAATATACAGTCACACCTGGTTAACGTCACTGGACATACCGCCAAACCGGTTATACCGCCATGAGTTGCCAGAACGTATTTCCTCTCTATATAATTCCCTGGATGTATGTTGTAAAATATAACCTCTTCAGAATCAGGTCTGACAGCTCAAGTAGGTGTAACTGATGGCTGGTTTACTTTTACGTAATGTATTTTTAACTACTTGGGTGCCCCCCTATTTTGCACTTGATCCCGAATGTAACATCTAATGACAGGTTTATAATCACTGTATGGGATAAGAAGTGGTGTCAGAGATTTGCTGAGAGCTGCATTTGCGGCAGCATCAGCCATTGTGTTACCCACTAGGCCGATATGATTGGGCAACTAACAAAAGACAATGTGGTATTGGCCCGTTGAATGATCATTGTATTGCTCTAAAGTATCTCAAATAATTAGATGAGTTGAAGACACATTCTTCATTGCCTGAAGACACATTCTTCATATCCTGAAGACAGAAATCGAATAAGAAAATATTACACACCCTTTTACACACCGACATTTGGGGTACACCAAAGTGGTAAGAATAGCATAGGATTCAGCAGTAGAATTTGAGCTCTTTTATGGAAGTCTAGATGATAATTGTTTTGACTCGATGACGATAGCTCTAGCTTTTTTGCCACCGTCCTTAGATCCATTGGTAAATATTGAACGGTGATTTTTGTATTTACTGTACGTATGCCTGTTGATATATGATTATTGGTGTATATCAGACTTGTTAAAACGTGTTAGGGAAAGGCCTACTTCTGGTCTAACAATAACTAGGGAAAAGTTGACAAAAACGTCGTTTGGAAGAAAAAGGATATGTTGATGTACTTTAATACCATAAGTTATGTGGAATTGTAAAGAAGGAGACCTGTGAAGATTCGGGTTAGAATTGGTCTTCAGTAACCCATGCTTGTTGTAAGAGGCGACTAACGGCATCGGGTGGTCAGACTCGCTGACTTGGTTGACACATGTTATCGTATTCCAACTGAGTAGATATATATATTCATGATGTTGATCACTTTATTATCTGGTCTAGACTCGATTATTTACAGACCGCCGCCATATAGCTGTAATATTGCTGTGTGCAGCGTTAAACAACCAACTAACCAACCAAACAATATACAGAATTGATTTTCTAATGAACACCCACTCCGTCCAGTCCCTTCCCATCCTCGCCAAATTATTAAATGTTCGGCCAAAACCTTAACAGTGAATAACAGCCAGGCAATGTAAGAACTAGCAATCTAATATTTTTAATTTGACAGTAATGTGATTAGGGAGGATTATTGAGATAAAGTAACACTGTCAACATAGTCAAAGACTATAATTTGTTATTGTCTCTCCGAATAACATGAATAATACATCAGAGTGAATGAGTTTGTTTTTACGCCGCTTATAGCAATATTCCAGCAATATCACGGCGGAATAATACATCAGAGTTATTGCATTTGTTACCCAATATTCGTGATACGTATCATATTCACTGCAATCCTTTAAGTCCCGTCCATTCTTGATTATTTTCTGGAACCTTCCTTTGCTGATTGCGTCGGAAAAACAGCCAACCAACATTTATACTACAACACATGTACTTAATCCATGTATTGTGAGCAGTGTGATGATGTCTCATTTTCCTAGTACTGTCAGAGAGATCATAACACTGACAGCCAACAAGGCGTCGGACGTGGAGATACGGTAGCCATCTGAAAACAAGCAAATATGAAGCTTATTAGGGGTGACTATTGAGGGGGAAACAACTATTGCAATAGCGATAGTCTATTGCGACCAACTATTGAATACTATTGCAATAATATTGCAATAGTTTTTTTCTCCTTGAATTGTCTCATCTGAAGTCAAATGAATGTATAGTTTATATGAAATAAAAACAAGTTGAAGTAGTTTCAGTCTCTTTTAATAACTGACAAAAAAATTGAAACCCAGATCAAGTAAACAGTTAAAACATAAACTTATTGTTATTTACAATTTCAATCTCCGACTCGCATGCCGTGTTTGCCGCCATGTTTGTTTCAGAGGTTACAGGGGCGGATAACACTAAATCAAAGTGAACGAATCTGGTACTTCCTGTATTTTGCACTGCGCATTCATCAACGGAAGTCAATGACTAAACTATCGGCAGTCACTCATACTATCGGTGCATCGATAGTTTTCGTTTCTACGGTAAATTCTACCTTCGATAGTTCGATGCATTGTTACAGCACAAAAGCTTATGGTTTGGATGAGACTTTCGAAACGCTTTTATAATACCAACAGGGATCTTATGATACGACAGAACTGGTAACAGGATCAAACGGTTCCACTATGTCTATTTGACTGGGCATCGATATTAATGCTATCAACCAGCTGTGTTTGGTGCGGGATGACTTATAGATATGCGTTCTTACGGCAATTGTGCAATTGTTGTAAGTGAATCGCAAGTGATTCCGAGGCATTTGATTGAATAACAAAGCAACCGGGCCGGCTGTTTCCGGACTGTGCGGGGTATATGTTGGTATATTTCATTGATTGTTGTATGCCGGTGAAAAGAATGCATAAGACAAGCAGTCAGTGAAGCTATTATTGTTGATGCTGGTCTTTATCTATAAACATTTACTTCAATGATTTCAACATTAGTCGTTTTTACGCTGTCACCGCTAATTCCAAAATCAATTCAAGTCATTTCCGAAATAACATGTGTCTTCTGAAACAGTGGAAATTTGACTGGCAAATATAACATACAACAAAGATTTTAGCAATGAATAAAACCAGAATCCATATTCCACAATAGTATTAAAGATAGAACAGGGTTCAACCTACCACATGCAACCGTCGACCAGGCCAGCTCCAGCGCTTCCTTTGCAAATTTGTCACCAGCACTGGTTGTACATTTAGCCATTTCCGTTTTCAGACACCTTGAAATACAGGATATACAATATAATGACATTTTGTCACGGACAAGTATATGTGAGGTGAGGTGAAATTGGTTTTTACGTCGAGCTTGAGAATATTTCGCTCATATGACGAGACAAGTATATGACGCATGTTGACAGTTATTAGTAGAACTAGTATATTAGACAAATACTTAAATGCTGTAACACAAAATATGAATATTTCTCACATGCAGTATTTCTCTTTTACCCCGTCACTGCACACAAATACACTACACGTTGTAGCTAGGACGAAGCATTCTGAAATGAAATGTGCACTAATTTTTCAAACGTTTTATAGTAAATGAAAGTTATTGTGTTTATCAATTTTTTACTTGCTACAATTGCCACCCAGTGACGTTAATTTACATTTTGTTCACAGTCATAAATCTTCAGTTTATATGTGAAAACGTAGCAGATCATGTTAGAATATATTTGTTTATACAAGCTGTTAAAAGGACAGGTATTCAAGTGCTGTGAGAACTTATATTTATGCACTCGCATTACAGGGGTTAAATTTACGCTAGTGATGTACATGCAAATGTACAAACGGATTATTTAAAAGTTATTTATGTTCATGTAGCTACCGTCTTTACACAATACTGTTTTGATCTAATAATCTTACAAAATACACAAACATATACATACCCATCAGAAGAAACAGCTTATAGAGCGCCATCCTGTTTTGGCGTGTATATCGAAAAGTCCCCAGGGATTACTTGAAACTAGGCATGCAGTTTCTTATCACTAACGCATTTAGTGACACTGAAAGATTTATAGTTGTTTATGGTCGTTAAGGGGGTATTTCCTGGCCTAAGCAAAACAGTCCGGTGTGACACTGTTGAGGTATTGTAAAAGAAACCGGATTGAGTTGTTAACAGTTGGTGTTTGTCTGTGCACTAAAACACATTGATATTGCCAGGAAAATATGTAGCAGTAACGTTTTCACGTATTTTATACATTGTAGTTTGTTTTATTAAAAGTCAATAAAAAGTTATACAAAAACATGTTTTGTGGGTGTTTTGTGGGTAACAGTATTCATGGTATTCTCCTTGCCGGTTGTCTGGTTAGGCCAGGTTGATGAATATGAATATCACGTGCATTTCATGTTAGTGGGAATCTTTGTGATAATATTGAGGAATTTGATTGGCTTATTGGATCATCTGTTTCAATAAGATGATACCTCGTGGTGTCTGGTGGTTGTCATTGCTTTCTGAGTGCCGAACATGTGAGGCCAAGCCAGAGTTGTCACCTAGTTAGTTTATATTTGGTTGTACAAATGCTTTATAAAGTTGTCAGGTTATAAGTATTAGTTATGTAGTTAACCTGCTGTTCTAGGTCCAAAACGTCTATTTAAGCATTCTTTTATATTAGCATTTTAAAAATGTAAACGTTATGCTTGGCTACGCTGGTTTAGGCTGTAAAATATTCACACCTAATGTTGCATTATATTATTTTATTCCCTCCTATATACTTTCCAAGTTATCGAGTGTATCGTATGTGCGCTCTGTCATAATGGTTGCTGGGAGTGAGATGTGCATGGCATGGGTTAACTGTGGATGCGTGTCTTATATGTATAATTGACCATGTTGTGTTACTAAAGTTTTTGATCACATTGCCGTCGATCAGGGAGATAACAGCGTTGCTTTGTCCGTTGTCCTTTGTTCGCTAACTTTGAATATGAAATGTTAAACATGAACCTTTTTATTCTCATATGGAGAACATATCTATTATATTGAATTCCTATTACAAACCCGGTGTCGTTATTGAAGTGAAATAATTCAAAGGAAAAACTGTTCGTTATTAATGTATTTGTTTATGTTCAAATGTGATCATGCGTTACATGTTTTTCAGTTGCCTCCCTTCTTTTCTCATATATATGCTAATGAATCTGTGATACCACTGTGATACAATGCAATGTGATTTATATTTATAATGAAATGTTTACAGGGTATTTTTCTTCTGTTCGAATAAACGGATTCACACCCCACAGCGAGTCGTGTTTTCAAGGCGTGAGCTGTTACACATATTTCTCAAAGTTCTACAGTTTTATTTGTTTAGTATCCATACATACATACATACATACAAACATTTGTAAAGCGCTAGTATCCAGCGTTAGCTGCTCAAAAGCGCTAGTGTCTGAGATAATTGAAAAGGGTCACTGAAATGCCATATTGAAGAAGAAAGTTTTGAGCTTAGATTTGAACGTGGACAATGTTTGCTCGGTTCTTATGTCAAGTGGGAGACTGTTCCAGAGAAGGGGTCCTGCACGTTCAAAAGAGCGGTCGCCAAACGGGAGGAGGGTACAGTTAGGAGAAACTTGTCACATGAGCGCAGTGTCCTCGGTGGGTGGTATCTGGTGAGCAGACTGCTGAGGTAATCTGGTGCTTTGTTATGGAGGGACAGGAACACCAGTACAAGTATCTTGTACTGTATCCGGTAGCGCACTGGCAGCCAGTGTAGGTCCTGCAGGACTGGTTGTATGTTGTCGAATTTCCTCTTCCTGCGGACAACTCTTGCTGCGGTGTTCTGCACTTGTTGCAGTTTCTTGATCAGATGGTTGGGAAGCCAAAAGAGGAGGGAGTTGCAGTAGTCCAGGCGGGATGTTACGTGAGCCTGGACAAGTGCGATGGTTGAATGCTGGTCGAGGTACCGCCTTATTAGCCCAATATTTCTGATGTGGAAATAGGCTCGCCTGCAGATGGTATTAACATGAGACTCAATATATCATTTGGCAATATATCATTTGGCAATATACTTATGTATAATGCAAATAATGGATGCATCCATCTGAAGAAAATATCACGGTTAGTGTCCACATGTTATCTCCTTACCCCCCTAACCGGTTTTGAGTATATAACATTAAATGGCAGAAGGCACTCTCATCCATATATTGCAATATTCAGACGCGGAATCTGTTAAAGGTAGTGTTTCTTGGCCACGATTTCTGGTTGTTGAAGGACTTGAACCTCAATATCACCCATTTGTAGTTGCGAAATATATAGACGTCATATGTGGTGCCGTTGTGACGAGAGAATCATTGTCAAGCACGTCCTGGTTGACTGTATCGATTTTTCCATCACAAGTGATAACTATTTCCCACATGTCGACTTTAAATGATCTTATTAATGTAACACCTCATAATGAAATTGTCCAAATTAAGCAGCTGGTAATTTTAGCATTATTCCCCAAGTTCAAACACCCAAACAAACAGAAATACATCCGTCTGTGGCCATTGCCTTTACATACCACTATTATGCTTGACAAGTCCCACGGATGAAAGGGTCGTTAAAATCTGTTTCATGGTATTGTTGCAAATAAACATAAATATTATCTTGTCTCTCATATACTGCTTACAGTGTCAATTAGGGTAAAAATGAATTTCAAACCCTAACCGAATAAATTTTGGATGAACAAATAGCTCCAAAATAAACAGGGTTTGACACAAAGTTTTGTCATCTTAGTCATGCCTGTCTTTTGGGTAATGGTTATGCTATACAATTTTGTAAGCATAGCCGTGGGATTAGTCTTCCTGTACATCGCTGTTTAAATACATTTAAGACTCCTGCCCAACAAAATATATTGGGTTAAGACTTCGAGCATGGTTAAATCCAGGAACCAACACATGAAAACAAATTTTATGTCAACTCGATGTTAGCCATAAATATTAAACTCAGTATTTTGGGTAATATAAGAGCATGACATAGCTATCCAATTTACTTTGCTCCTGACATTTCGAAAGAAAAGTTATTCTACACCATTAATATTTTAAAGAATAGGTAGCTTGAGACGAACGCGATCTCAATTTTGTGACTGGTCTTGAAAAAACAATAGTAAAGTGGCTTTCAAGATATGATTTTCAGGTAAACCCTGAAATAAAGCTAGATCCCTGACAGCTAATTGCATGAACCCGCATATATTATAAATAAAAGACTCTAAAAGACACTCTTACCATGTATATATATCGAAGACTATGTATATCATGTTTCCCTAGGCTTTCAAGAATACAGCCTGGCAGACAGTAATATCTTTTACAGTTCTACCATTCTTGGCAAGTCTAGATCTATGGCCGACACCTGTCTAAACATTTCATGGTATATACCTGCGGTGTCTTAACATTTAGCCAATATTAAACGGACATATTGAGCTTGACCTCAATTTCATGAAAATACTTCTCCCTTATCAACATCAGTGCCGTGTCCACAACGTCATATCCTTTTCTTGCAAGATTTCTGCGAACTATGAGAGTTACTCGTGCCCCTTATAGGGCTCCGTTCCATGTGCTTCTGATTTAAATAGAAAATAACGTCAGTTGGTGAGGGCGGTGGGGTAGCCTAGTGGTTAAAGCGTTGGCTCGTCACGCCGAAGACCCGGGTTCGAATCCCCACATGGGCACAATGTGTTAAGCCCATTTCTGGTGTCCCCCGCCGTGATATTGCTGGAATATTGCTAAAAGCGGCGTAAAACTAAACTCAGTCAGTCAGTCAGTCAGTCAGTTGGTGACCAATTCAATACTTACAATGTATTTTGCCATAAATGTGATACATTTCATGCTAGCAACCAAGGATGCATTTGTCAGAGATTTACAAGCAGTGTCTGGACACATGTCGGCGATGATACAGGCTTTTGAGTGCCACCATGACATAAAATGTCTTTCTAACTTCCACAATCAAAACTTTATGAAATGTTAATCTTACATTCGTGTCTTTCCTACTTCGAGCAAAGTATGTGAAGATAGAAAGGGGATGAACTATTACGTGAACACAGTCAATACTGATGGTAAGTAAAGTTCAAATATATATATATATAGATCATAACGATCTTTCAATGTATCGACCAATTTCACAAACAGGGTGCATTGCATAGTGGTACCCCATTGATGGTACCCCTATCACAGTAAGCCAGGTTCGACCTTCTGAACTCAAACACAATATTTTAAAAATATAAGCTTGAAGGCATTGTGGGGAGGGGAATCCTCCAACTAGTTAGAGCACTGTTCGGTTTTATAATTGATTACGGTTCCATAATTTATGGTGGCGCGTGTAAAAGCAATTTAGAAATGTTAGATTCTGTTTATAATCTTGGAGCCTTCATAACATCATCAATTCATGGTTAAAACTACATCACATTAAATTATTTTACAGTATATTTACGTTCAACTCCTTCCAATCTTGCATCAGACATGTTTTAATAGTCTTTATAAAGAACTATACTAGCATCATTTTTTATTCCTTCACTTGGAATAAGAATGCTATGCATTTATAGACTGGGGAATTCGGTCAATACCTGTTTTTATGGACCCAAGAAAAGCAATAGTGAAAGCTTTTCAAAAATGCTTTTCGCGGGTCCTTAAAAACAGGTATTGACAGAATTCACCAGTCCATAATTGTTTTATTAATATGTAATTACCGCAAAAAAAGCTTATAAAAACCAAAACATGTCCATTTAGTCAAGAAAAGTATTTTTTCCCGGTACAAACCAATAACGTTATGTCAACAATACTGTGGCATGCAAACAATATTTTAGTAACTCAAGTCAATATGAGTTCTGGTCGGACCTGGGTTGGAGTCAATATGCTTTTCTGTCGACGGTAACGTGACCGCCTCGAGACCAATCAGGTAGACGGAAAAATATGCTTACATAATAAAATGTAATATTCTGCAGCTAGCATAAATATTGAAAATACAACCTCAACACAGCTTTTCTCTTCTCCTACATGGCAGTTAGTAAAGCCAGAGGTGGATTTAATATTAACTCAACTAAACAAATCTGGAACAAACCATCTAAGAAACACTTATGATACTAAGAATTTTGTTTTCACAGATAAAAAAATAATGATCTTGCAACAAGCCAATTTCATATTCTCATGCTGGATTCACTCAACACATCTGTAACACTTTTGATGCCTTACAGTGGTTATAAACCTGTCATTAGAATTCAGGGCATCTAATGTAAATGAAGTGGCACACACAAGTAGGTAGTGATAGATTACATGCACCTATTGGTTATACCTACTTGTCAGTTCTCATTTGAAGAAATAATTTCAAGAGGATGTCGCATAATCCGTTTGTAATACTTCGGGCGTGTTTCGCGGTAAGCGTTTGGTTCTAAACACCGTTTGTGGCAGTCATTTCTCAAAGCTGGTCTTTCTTCTGACGACCGTTCATAACATATATTTCGTGATCACCTCCTTTTGTTTTGAAATTATTAATGGTATGTATGTCATTCATTTTTTAACTGTGTGGCATCACTACAAGACTAAAATGTTATAAAATATATGGTTTTGAAATGTCTCTAATACAAAAAGAAAGCTTCATCCTTTTTAGACAACTGCATGATTCCCATAAATGATTGACCAAGGCATTAAAACCACATCATTATGTAAACGTTAGATGCTGTAAAAATACATTTACCTGATTTATAGGACAGAACAATAGACTTGTCCAAGTTAAAACCTTTTTTGACACAGTAATTGGGTTTAATGCATCCCTGTCAGTCATATCGCAAAGGCGATCAATCTTCTGACAACCAATCATGACATTTATATATCATTTCCCCCAACCTTTTGGTGAGTATAGTATATCTGCGAACTGCAAGAGGTAGCAGTCTTCCGTACTCTGGTAGCAGGGATCCGTACACTGGTAGCAGGCTACAACGCTCTTTACAGCGACTACTTACAACATTCGATATATTTGTGGAACATCGACTTGCTCGTGCTTCTGTTCTAAAAGAATCAACCAGTTTGAGTTGGTGATCAATTCAGTACGTAGAATGTATTTTGCCATAACCGTTTTACATTTTATGTTGGCAGCCAAGGATGCATTTATAAGAGATTTACAAGCAGTGTCCGGGAACATGTCAGCGATAAAATGTGCTCTTGTGTGCCACAATGACATGAAATGTCTTTCTTACTTTCACGATCAAAACTTCATGAAATGTTGTCCTTACTTTCGTGTCCTTCCTTCTTTGAGCAAAGAATTTGAAGAGAGAAAGGGGATGAACTATTACGTGGACACGGTCAATACTGAAGGTAAGTATTGTTCAAATTTATATTAACATAGTAATAGCTCATTGACATAAGGGCGCCCCAGAGAAATCAAAATCAGAATTGCTGCCAACATTGTTAACAACAGAAAAGCTGACTGTGATACTCGAATAGGTAATATGCATGCCCGATTCCAGACAGTGCATGAAATAAGCCAGAACCCCAGTCAGACATCAGGGCTGGTAACTTCAGAATGTTTTTGGGGTGATTTGGGAAAATAGATATTCCGCTATATAAATGAAACCTTCAAAAATAATTATCTAACTAACTATGAACAGGGGCGTAATAGCTTGTATACCTAAGCAAGGAAAAGACAGAAAATTGCTAAAAAACGGGCGCCCTATTTCTTTGCTAAATTCGTGTATAAACTGATTAGTGCTTGTATCACTAATAGACTTAAATGTACTCTTGACTATTCAATACAGGAAAATCAGAATGGTTTTATTCCTGGGAGATGTATTAGCGAAAACATCAGACTCCTTTATGACATCATATTTGAAACTAGAAAACATATATTAAAGGGCTCCTGCTATTAATTGACTTTAAAAAGGCCTTTGATACTGTTTCAAAACCATTTATTTACTCTGTCATTAAAAAGTTTGGATTTGGCACATATATGCTCAAATGGATCTCTCTCTTAACAAGTAATGCCACTTCATGTGTCATTCAAAATGGCCATTTATCAGATTGTTTCCCTAATTCGAGAGGTTGTCGTCAAGGGGACCCACCGTATCTTTTTCTTTTTGTCGCCGAAATTTTAGGCATTATGATCCGTGGGAATACTGATATCAAGGGTATTGTACTAAACAGTAAGGAATATAAATTAGGCCAATATGCGGATGACACTCAGGTTTTCTTGGATGGCACAGAGGCTAGTCTAAAGGCAGCTATGGGTACTCTCTCTCTTTTTTACAAAATTTCAGGATTGAAAATTAATGTTGATAAAACCAAAGCAATATGGTTATGAACACTAGAAAAAAATTAGTGAAATTAGCATGATATCCTTTCTTTCATTGATTCACTTAAAATAGCATCATTGAAGAGATGTCTCTGTAGAGCTACCTGCAACAATCCCTGCAATGGTCCTATTATACCATTACTCCAATTAGGAGCTAATATTGATCTATCTAAGGAAGTTGATAACCTTTATTGGAAAGACGTTTTTTCAGGCAAGGAAGAGGTACAGATCTTCCTTCAGAGTTGACCAATGTGATTATCAGAAAATACTTAATGAACCGTTGTGGCTAAACCATCATTTTGCAAACCCTTCTCTTTTTATTCATAATTGGTTCAATAAGGGTGTGACCGAGATTAAAGACATATGTAACTCTGACGGGCTATTATCCTTTCATGAGTTTAAAACAATAGATTCTTAGTTTACAATTCTTAGATTACAATGAGTAACATTCCCATTACTTGGAAAGCCACAATAAGCAGTCATAAGCTTGAAAATCAAAATCTTGGGTATCATGCTAATGCCCCGACAGCTGCCTCCTGGCTATCTGCCCCTTCACCCATCTTGATAGGATTTATGAAACTCAATTATTCAACATATGAGCAGTTTTCACACAGCTATCAACCCTAAATCTAGATTTGAAACCAGAGTATTTGATTGCGGACTTCGAACAAGCAGCCATCAATGCAATTCGTGAAGTATTCCCTGCAGCAGAAGTGAAGGGCTGCTTCTAC